AAAAACAAAAGCCTCTGATGATCGTGCAGCTCAGCTGGGAATGGTGGGGGGGGCGGGACGCAGGGATTTTTGCTACCAGTTCACCAAACTACCTGCCACCATCACTACTGGATCAGGTAATCCGGTCCGAACCAGGAGCATTTCACCCCTGGGCTCCACATGCCACAGGTTCGCCATCACGGGTCTAGAAGAAACTCTAACCACTCTGAAATTCAACCTAGAAAATGAGAAACCCCAAACCTTGCAAGAAGAATATGCCCACATTGAACATAATAATGATCAAAACATTTCTAAAAGAATTGACCCCTTAGAGGAAAAAGAAGACAGACACAAACATGTCACTCATAGAAAAAAAACACAAACCTAGTACAAAACCCCTGTCCAACCCAACCCACTCTGATGCAGCCCCACTGGTGCTAAGGAATCAATTTCATGGACTCTCCCTGGAAGAAAGCATGCAGACACATAGAAAATAAGCATCATCAAATGTCCCTTAAAAAGTAGCACCATCAAATGCTTCTGTGATAGATAGAAAAATACCCCAAAGCTCCCTAGGAAAAAAAGGCAAGTGTTGGTGATAAGAGATTCAATTCTCAAGGGAACAGAACCAGCTGTCTGTAGACTAGACAGTCAACCCATGAGAAGTATGTTGTCTCTCTGGAGCAAAAATCAAAGATGTGGCTGAGAACCTAACCAAAATAATAAAACCCACAGATTACTACCCTTTTCTACTACTACATAATAGTAGGGGACGAATGACACAAAAAGGGATTTGAAAACAATATTGAGTGATTACGAGCAGCTAGGCATGAAAGTCAAGGACTTAAGTGCACAAGTAGTTTTGTACTCTGTTAACACAAAACTACTTGTGTTCTGTTCCACGTACTGGAGTGCCAGAAACCCGAAGATGAGTTGGCTGGCGCGCATGCGCGCCGGCCAGCTGGTCTTTGGGTTTCCAGCGCACGCATCAGAGGTGGTATTCAGCCGGTTTGCACCAGTTCGGGCAAACCATTAGTGGAAATTTGACAAGGTTCACCAATTTGGTAGCGACCTCTGGCTGGCCATGTCACCCGGTCCCCGCTGGTTTGCCCTGCCTGCCTCCCTGCCCGGCGCTGCCTGCCCCGCCAGCCCCACCACTACTTATAGAATCTAGACACGTACTTCTGCTCACCACTGCTGGCAAAGGTAAGGCCGAAGGGCACTGGCTGGCAAGTAGGCAGTGGAGACAGAGCTGGCGGAGGGGTGATACCAGCAGCGGGTGGACCGATGTGCATGGGGAGGGAGGGAAGCGCATGGGAGATCGTGGCACCAGAGCCCTTCCTGTATGTTTTCCCAAGCCAGCCTGGCCTGCGAGGGAAGCACACAGGAGATCGCGGCACCAGAGCCCTTCCATGTGTTTCCTCAAGCCAGCCTGGCCTGCGGGGAAAGCATGTGGGAGATCTTAGCTGCAGTTTACTCATGAGCAACATTGGCCAGGAGAGGCAGGGAGAAAGGCCAATGATGCTTATGAGGGAGGGTCAAGCCTCCCTGACAACATCTTCACCTGAGGGCATTGCTGGCAGACGCTTCCTGCATCAGGAGGTCCATGCTGCGTGGAGGCAGGAGGAGGTGGTTTCTTTCACTGCCTGAGCTTTGCGGGCGGCAAGCAGCAGAGCAAGTAAGCCAGCAACCTGCTGGCTGCCTCTAAACTGCAGTTTACTTGTGAGCACGTTTACTCGTGAGCATGGTGATCACGAGTAAACTGCAGATTAGAGGCATCCGGCAGATTGCTGCCTTACTCACTCTGCTGCTCACAGGGAGCAAAAAAAACCGCCGCCTCCTGCCTCCATGCATCGAGGAGTCCGAGCAGCAGCCGGAAGAGCACAGATCTCCTGACACAGGAAGCGGCTGCCAGCGATGCCCTCAGGTGAAGATGTTGTGAGAGGGGAGGGTCGACCCTCCTTAGGAGCCACGAAGCACTTGCTACCCATCTAACACCTGCCAAGCCTCCTCCCACCGTGCTTCACTTCCTCCTCACAAGAAGCGCTCGCAAGCGACAAGACATCTGTTATTTTTGGGGAGACTGCGGAATTGCCCCCCTCTGGTCTTCAGTACCTGGCTCGTTGGCCTCCGGACGTCAGATTCCCACCACCAAGCACCAGTTCAGAGGTTCCTTCACACACACCCCATGGACAGAGAGGGAGGAAGGGAGGGAGGGAGGGAAAGAGAGAGAGAAGGGGGGAAGGGAAAGAGAGAAAAGAGACACAAAGGGGGGATGGAAAGAAAGACAAGAGAGAGAAGAGACAGAGAGGGGGAAAAGAGAGACAAGATATACACACAGAGAGAAAGAGATGAGAGAGAGATGAGTGAGGAGATGAGAGAGGAAGAGAGAGAGAGGAAGAGATAAGAAACAGAGGGAGAAAGAAAGAGAGATGAGAGAGAGATAGGGAGAAAGAAAGAAAGATAAGAGAAATGAGAGAAAAAGAGAGAGGAGGTGACAGAGAGAGGGAGAAAGAGATGAGAGAGAGAAGGAGAAAGAGAGAGAGAGAGAGATGAGAGTGAGAGCCAGGGAAGGAGAAAAGAGAGAGAGAGATACCTGTTTAAAAGAAAATAGAAAAATGGCTCTTTGAGTGTTTAAGGTTGCAGAGCCCTGATTTAGCAAACACCATGGTCATTAAGTGAACCTTGTGGTCATTAAGTGGACACTGTGGTTGTTAAACAAGTCCATTTTCCCCAATGGGCACTTTTAAACGGAAACCAGAAGGAATTTTTGGAAACTGGCAAAAAACATGGAAAACCTCAGTCACAAGACTGTGTGGGATGTTGCAACTAGTCATAAATGTGTGTGCGTATGTGCATGGCTGTCAAAACTCCAAAAACAGGTCAAGTAGCTCTGGGGAGGTCAGTCATAAATTTGAACACTTGTTAAGCAACCGGCAATTAAGTGAGGACCACTTGTATTTGGTTTGCCTTAAGGGTTCAGAGCTGTATGGAATCTGATTTCCTATGACCCTTTGGGGGATTGCAAAAGGCCCGGATGCAGGAATCCTCGTAGGGGGAACTAGGATTGTGACCACCTAGCCATGCCTATCCAGTCACATGACCACCTAGTCACGCTCTGTCACATGACCACCAAGCCACACCCACCAAACAAGCCACGCCCACAGAACCAGTAGTAAAAATTTTTGAATACCACCATGCATGCCAGCCAGTTGGTTTTCAGGTTTCTGGTGCTCCGGCGCACGCAAAGAGCAGCTGGCCGGCACACATGCATGCTCCGGAAACCAGAAGAGCAGCTGGCAATGGTGCACATGCCCACAGAGAGGGCTCTGCGTGCATCTCCTCTGGCACACGTGCCATAGGTTCGCCATCATGGCTATAGGCCACCCAATCAAGCAGAAAAAATAAATGTCCTTTTTGCTAATCAACTAACAAATATATGTAGGAAGCACACTACAATAGTAATGGGGGACTTCAATTATCCTGACATCAATTGGAAGACTAACTCCACACCAAGTGAGAAATCAAATAGGTTCCTAACCAACCTAGCTGACAACTTTGTTGTCCAAAAGATAGAGGAGGGAACTAGAGAGACAGCCATACTGGTCTTAATTCTTACAAACAGAGAAAAAGTGATAGAGGGAGTTGAAATTGCAGGAACCTTGGGTGAGAGTGATTGTGTCATACTAGAATTCAATATAACGCAACCACAAGCAATAGAACATAACGATACCAGAGTCTTAGATTTTAAAAGAGCTGATTTCAACAAACTCAGAGAGAACTTGCGAAAGATTCCTTGGATGAAAATCCTAAAGGGGAAAACAACTCAAGAATCTTGGGAAACTCTGAAAAATACGATCATAAAAGCCCAGATCAGCACAAAACCACTGAAAAAGAAAAACAAGAAATCCAAGAAGAAACCAGTATGGCTGCACAAAGATCTCTCGAACAAATTGAAAGACAAAAAGGACAAGTACAAAAAATGGAAAGACACAACTAAGGCAGAATATCAGCAGATAGCCAGAATCTGCACAGATGAAGTCAGGAAAGGAAAGGCTCAGAATGAACAAAGACTTGTAACAAAAGTCAAAGATAATTTTTAAAAAATTATTCCAACATATAAATAACAAGAAAAAAAATCAAGGAAACAGTCCACTAACGAGAGAAGACAGCAAGGAAGTAACAAGCAGCAGAGAGAAAGCAGAGCTGCTTGATTCATTTTTTGTATTGGTCTTCACACAAAAAGAAACTATAGCCCAACCTACCAAAAACATAACTGTAAAAGACAGACTAGAAATAAAAGTTAAAATAAACAAAAAAATTAGAGAACATCTGTTTGAACTTGATGAATACAAATCACTGGGACCTGACTGATTACATCTCAGAGTTCTAAAGAAGCTGGCAGATGTCATCGCAGAACCACTGTACCACATCTTTCAAAAATCTTGGAACACTGGCAAACTACCAGAGGACTGGAAAAGAGCTGATGCGGTTTCCATCTTCAAAAAAAAAGGGGGGGGGGGGGGAACAGGCCCAGGAAACTACAGATTAATCAGCCTAACATCAATACTCGGGAAGATACTGGAAAAGATTATTAAAAAACAGATCTGCCAACATCTAGAAACAAGTAAAATAATAACTAGCAGTCAGCATGGCTTTGTTAAAAACAGATCCCAAGATTTTCTACAAGTGTCAATTATATGACTTTAGAAACTTGTTTTTATTTATTTTAATTAAATTAAATTTTTATTTTTTGCCTAACCACTTTGAAACATATGTAAAATGCTAGTTTGCAAGTTTTAATGAGCTTGTTCTCTTTGATTTTAGATATAAGTAGATCAGCAAAATGGTATTAGGACTCCTATCCAGGTGATGAAATATTAAAATGTCCTCATGCTACTAAAGTATTTGTCTGAGTTTCTAATTACTGATGGAACATCATTTCTGATATGTAGTTTCTCCTTTTTTATTTATGCTGTATCAACATAAATTAGAAGGTTAATTTAGTGCAATTTCTCCAGGGGGAACACCTTTCCCTCAGATAGTCATCTTCTTGGAGACATAACTGGCAACATGAAAAATGCTGAAAGTCAAAGCAATGCTTCTACTCCACTCTGTCCAAGATCACCAGCACTGAGTGCACACAGCATGACTATTGACTACAGCAGGGTAAGTTGACTGGTGCAAAAATGGATTGGTTTGAGAATCGCTTCATAGTGGCAAATCTAGAATCCGGGTTTACTTGTTTTCCTCCAGTCTTTTAAGTATTGGACAAAGACATGGTGGAGAAAACAAATTGAGATTGAATATATTTGTGTATATTCCTAAAATTGATTCTGGCTTATTTCTTATGTTCAACAAATCATGCTTAAAGTAAATTCTGAAATATTTGAACAAACAATGAAAAGTTAGAGTTAATGGCTTGAACTTGGATGGGTGTTTGCTTCCTAGACTGTAACTAGTGTGTTTTCATATGTTAAAGAGTTTTCTTATATGTGTGATACATGAAATATATGTTGTTTTATGTGAGCAGGATTTGGAATTAGAAAACAACATTGTTATGTCTATCAGTGAAAGTATCCCTGCAGATTTGTCAAAAAGGCATCGTAGGAAAAGTTCTAGAACACCTTCTATGGCAATTTCTAAGACATCTTTAACATCTGGTGAGCTTTCAGTTACTGATATTTTGATGTACTTATGAATTGCTATTACTATCTCTTTTCATTGTTTCACTTGTTTTTTCCTCCCACAGTTTTTCTTCTTGGGGAATGTTTGTTTGTTTTGTTAGAATTGCTAAGAATTAGCTTTCTACCAGGTTAGACAACTTTTGTCATTCTAGATCAGAGATGTAGAATTTCTATCAATTCAGGGTTATATTGACAGATGCAGTTTGGCTGAGGATAGGGAGGGAGTTTACATGGACCATATTTTTGGCTTACCTACTCTGTCGTGATTACAGAAACTATCAAAGTATAATGATCGGGTACACTTTTTGTAATTCTGATCTGGATCCTAGTGCAGTATTGTTTATTTGATTGCCAGTGGCTCTTCAGACATACAGTAGGTCACCTGCTACCTGATTCTTTTACGTATAACTGAAGATGAAGAGGGCTGAATGGGATCTTCTGTATAAAATTTACACTTTATTGTAGAACTCTGGTTCTTCCCCTTTAATGAAGAAATCTCTATGTGTCTGTCATAATTATTCTTAAAACAAAGATGAGGTGGTTTTTGTATAAACATCTGTAAACTTTAGCCTTTGCTGATCATTTCTTCCCTAAATTTTATTCAACACATTTGTATGCATTAACAATTGGATGAAAGATACGCCTTTATAATCTGTTCCCTTACTAACAATAGACTAGATAGAAGTATTAGAGACTCAGCTTGCATGAAATACATTTTCCCTCTACCTGTTTGATTTTCCAAAGAGTGAGAAAAAGGAAACCACCATTGAATTTCTTCCTGTAATCTTTTGTTTATTTGTTTGTTTTTGAATTTTATCTTTTCTGTAGGTTTCAGGCAAAGAGGAAATTGATGGATTAAAAACAAGAAGTTGTGAAAAAATAGATAAATATTCCAACACACACAAATAAGTTAAAAGATACTACAGTATCTTCTGTCTATGCAGATTCTCAGTCATCCAAGTCATGTTGTCCCAAAGGGGCTTTTTCAAGAGGCAACTTGACTTTCTTGTTTTTCTCTGAAGATGTTTCACTTTTCATCCAAGAAGCTTCTTCAGCTCTGACTGGATGATGGGGAAAATCCTTCCATTCCCTGCCATCCAGTCAGAGCTGAAGAATCTTCTTGGATGAAAAGGAAAACATCTTCAAAGAAAAATAAGAAAGTCAAATTGCCTCTTGAAAAAGCATCTTTGGTATAATATCTTCTATATAGATTGCTAATGCACTATACATGGATTTTCCTTATATCTTGCAGATCGTAGTAGGTCAGAGAGAGATCTCAATGGATCCTTTTCAGAAGGAAATGAAGATACTTTAAGCTTAAGAAGTAAATCTGTACCTGGAGCACTGGACCATGATGTGGTGAGCTGGAAAGATACAAAGCTTACAAATTAGAATATTTTGACTCTTTTATTTTACCAGTAATAATAAACTTCTCATTTGACTAATTTCAGTAATTCATATATATGTCACAGTTTATATCAAAAGTACAATAACAATAATAAAAATGTAGGGGGTATAAATGAAGATAACTACAAATATATCCTTGCAAGAACCTTATGTAATAGTTAGGCTGAAATATCATGAATGGCCCCAGCATCCAATTACAAAAAAGATTGCATTTCCTTATTTAATTTAGATGCAGAATAAAGCAGGATGACACAGTCTGATTCTGCTGAAATCTCCCAAACTTCAGCCCTTGGTCCAGTCAGAGATCTCCACCAAGCACAACTGTCAACACATGCTTTATCTTTTGAAGTGAAGGGTTGCAGTTAGCAGCTGCTTAACAGAACACAGTTCTAATACAGTTCTAATACAGAATTATAATACAAAATGGAACTCAACCAGTAGCAACTGTTCCATGTCTAACAACTACAAGAGCAGTTGCATGGGGCTTTCAATCTTGGCAGGCAGAGGGTAGCATTTCTCTTCACTTTTTCATCTTTGCAGAGCCTCAGCTTGGTTTATGAAAGGATCAGCCACACTATGGGACACAGTTTGAATAACTGTGTAATGAAACCTTTTTGGGTATAATTTGTAATTATAAGGTAGAGTTTCAGCTGCTATCATTAAGTATGGTGGGCTAGATGTTCACAATAACTGGAGATATATCAGACACTAAAATGCTATTAAAGACAAAAGGTGAAACAGGGTGAGATACTACAGCTAAGGTAAATGGTTTTATTTAAATAGCAACAGAAGATAATGTTTTTCCTGTTTAGTCCTCCACTCAACCCCTTCCTAATAAAATATTTTATTCCTTAATTGTGGATATATGCCTTGCTTTTCCATTAGGACTACCTGAATGAAGCAGAAGAGAATATGGATGACATTATAACCTCTGGCTTTTCCAAAAGGCAAAGTAATTTGGCAAGTGGATTTTCCACAGTAAGTGGAATTAAATTGTTAAATTTAATTAAATTTAATTAAATACAGTATGTTATTAAATACATATTCATGACTTTTTTGTACTGTTTCTTCCTAAAGCATATTAGATTTTTGATACTTGGACCATGTTCCTTTCTAACATATTTTATTCTGTTGTGTTTCATTCCACAGCTGATTTTTAGCTTCAATTCTCTTGTTTTAATACTGGTAGATTAAATGTCATTTCCATTATTTGGATTTTTAGAGACTTTAATTTTTGTTAAAGAAAAGCATGAATGATTGCAGGTCCTTCTAGCTTCTAATAAACATAGAATGTTGACATCTTAGAGGAACCAGGGCAGCTGATCCATTTAAGCAAGATACAACTATTATGTTTACTGCACTTCATTTGATGGATACAAGGATATAGCCAATATTTCAAAGGTTCAAGGCGAGACCAGGTTAGAACCAAAGCAAACATACTCAGGCAACCGAGAAACTCAGTAACCCAGACTTTAATCCTTGAAAGCAGGCTGGAGCCTTGGTACACGATGAGTAGGAAACACAGTCCCTTTCAAAATCACTTATAGTCTAGGGACCACATCAGTAGTGGGTTCCACTTACCTTCGCTACCAGTTTGGAACTGTGAGTGCATATGCATGCTCACTTCGCTCATACATGGCACTTCTGTGCATGCGCAGAGCATCCGTGATGACATCCAGGCAGGTGGGCGGAGCCTCCTGCTGCCGCCACTACCGGTTCGCCCAAACCGGGGTGAACCGGTAGAAACCCACCACTGGACCACACTCTCCGGCTGACTGAACACACCCACTGGTCAACCAACATCTGGTAGACCATGGTGGCAGCCTCCTCTCCCATCCGGCAGTAGCAGCATGACCTCCCAACTAGCAGCATGCTTTGGGGCCTTTCACATCCTGATTGGAGGCCCATGCAGGAGAGCGATCAGCTGGCGAGTGGCTGTTCAATGCTGTCACTGGAAGACCTGCCACCATAGCTGCCTCCTCGCCCGTTACTCCTATTGCTCTCCCTGCTGTGTGCTGCTTTATTTCCCAGAGGGATCGTCCATGGGAGAAATCAGCTAGCGAGTGGCTTGTTGGTGCAGGCACCAGCAGTCCCGCCGCTGCAGCCTCGCCCATCGCTCTGGTCGCCTTCTCCACTGTGTGTTGCTCCATGGCCTTCCCACCTCCCCCCCCCAGGTATGGCGAGCCCAGGATCATGGCTCGACAGGCATCTCCCCCCTACAAGGACTGTACTTGCAAGATAGGAGACATAAGGGTTAGACACGGCACCCTAACATGTATTCCCTCCCCCCCCCGGATTGCAGGGATAGTTCTTATGGAACCTCGTAAGCAATCTTGTGGCTCTCACATCCCAGTGTGCCACCCATGAGGCGTCAGTAGTGGGGTATCCTTTCCACCATACCAGGTACTACAGTTTACCCCTATGAAGGCACGAGTATAACACTTGGTCTATTTTGTACCGGTCCCCCACTACAGGACCTGGTGGCTAGGGAAGCGGCCAGATATTGGAGTCTTCCACAGGTTTCAGGAGACTGCTGTGGAGCACGGAGTGCACCTTCCCCAGCAAGGGTGGAAGTTTCAGTTTCACAGTTACGGGATTTATTACCCGTACAATTGGGAAAGGCCCCAGGTATTTCGGGCCCAGTTTCTTGCAAGGCACTTTCAAGGCACTTTTTATTGTAGGTCACCTCCTCAAATGGAAGGAGGTCTGCCCAATTTTTCTATTGATAAGTGACATAACACCTCAGATATTGTTCCACCATGGCATTCGTTCTTTCTGATGCACCGTTTGTGCTGGGGTGAAAGGCTGTGCTTAGATCTTGGGAGGATGATCAGGCATATGAAGTTGTGCCAGAACTTGGCAGTGAACTTCATCCCCCAAAATGATGTGCCTCAAAACCCCGTGGAGACAGTAAACATGTCTGATAAGCAGCTTTGCTAGCCTTCGCATTGAAGGCAATCCAGAACATGGCACAAAATGGGCCTGTTTGGAGAAAAGGTCAACGATCGTCTATATCACGTTGTGTCCGTTACTCTCTGGCAGTTGTATGATGAAGTCCATGGTGATTTCCTCCCAAGGCCGGGAGGGATCAACCATGGGCTGTAAAAGGCTTAGGGGTTTACCTGGCTGCAGTTTCATGGTTGCACAGACCGGACAGCTTTTTACATAACTCTCTATTTCGGACTTCATTCGCGGCCACCAGAACTGGTGCCTGGTGAGATGTAGAGTTTTAAGGAACCTGAAATGGCTGGCTTGCTTGGTGTCATGGCACCACCACAGTACCCTAGGCCTCAGGGTGAGTAGTATGTATAGTTTGCTGCCCTTCCAGGCAAAGCCATTCCTTTGGGTGAGTAGTTGTTGGTTCTCTAGGAGCCATGGGTTGACCAGTAATGCGGTCTGTAGATCATGTGTCAAGCCATCAATCAGGCCTCTGACCATCACCTGTGCTGCTTGTTGGGAAGGAGGTACGATGGCATGGATTACTTCTTCCCGCTGGCTGTTATACTGGTGCATCCGTGACAGGGCATCTGCCAGGAAGTTCTTACCCACCGGGATGTACTTCAGAGTAACGGAACCATTGGCAGTACTGTGCCCACCGGGCCTGCTTCGGGGACAACTGACATGGCGTTTGGAGTGCCTCAAGGTTTTTGTGGTCTGTCCGGACCTCAAATGGTTCTTTCAAAAGATGCTGCCATGTCAGCAACGCCCACCGTACAGCAAAGGCCTCCTTTTCCCATATTGCTCAACCGTGTTCTGTCTCAGTAAGCTTACATGAGGTATATGCACAAGGCTGCATCTGACCTTGTTTCTCTGCAACAGGACTGCTCCTACTGCCACATCACTGGCATCAGCCTAGATAGCAAACATTGTCTGGAGTCAGGGTGTTTCAGGACTGGCTCCCTACGAATAGGGCTTTTAGCGTTTCGAAGGCTTGTTGGCAGTCCATTGTCCACTGGAGTGGTTGTCCAGGTCGAGGCTTCATTAAAGTGTGCTTCATTTGAAGTAGGTCAGTCAACGGCAATGCCACCCTGGCAAACGATGAGATGAACTGCCGATAGAAATTGGCGAAGCCAAGGATGCTCTACAATTATTTTTTTGCAAATTGTGTTTTTGGTGCCTGCCACTCCAACATAGTTTGAACCTTATGTGGATTCATTTCCACCCCAGTGTTGGATATACAGTAGCCCAAATAGTCCAGATGAGTCTGGTGAAACTCACATTTGGAGAGTTTTACATATAGCTTTGCCACCAGCAATTTCCTCAATACCAGCCGCACCAACTGGGTGTATTCCTCCATAGTGGTGGTATAGATGATTATGTCATTGAGATACACAAGGACCCCTTGGTACAGGTGTTCATGTAACACATTGTTAATTAGCTGCATGAACACAGCTGGGGCTCCTTGTAGCCTGAATGACATCACCTGGAACTCCCCAACGGGTAGTTGAACACCATCTTCCACTCGTCCCCTGGTTTAATGTGGACTCAGTAGTAAGCCTCCCACAGATCTAACTTGCTAAAAAAAAACACCCCTTGGCCAAATGGGCAAACATGTCTTTCATGAGAGGCAGGGGGTACATATTTTCCACACAAATCCTGTTAATTCTGCAGAAATCAACGCATAAGTGCAGGGTCCCATCTTCTCTCTGAACAGCACCGAAGCGGCCACTCGCAACTGGGCTGGTTGGATGAGCCCCCTAGCCAAGTTCTTGTCAATGTACCGTCAAAGTTCCCCCATCTCCTTCTGCATCATCGAATGCATCTTTGGCTTAGGCAGTTTGGCTCTGGGTATCAGTTCGATTGCACAATAAGTAGGGCAGTATGGGGGGTAGGGTCTCACACTCCTTCTTACTGAAGACCTGTGCCAGGTCTGTGTAGACCTGGGGGAAGGGGGAACGGGCCTCCTCCAGGGCCTCCCCAGGCCTCCCCCCTAGTCCACTCTCTGCCTCTCTCTGAGCTTGCTCGTGGGGAGGAGGCCTGGGCCCAACTTCTATCTTCAACTTCCTGTAGCCACCTTCCCACCATATTGTGCGGCCCCACTTATCCAGCCATGCCAATCCTAGGATAAGGGACTTGGTCATCATTGCCACCATGATTAATCTAATTACTTCCCAATGCTCTCCCATCTCCAACCATACTGGCTCCATGAGGTGGGTAGCAGGAGTTCCCCCAGCAATGAGCCATCCACCTGCTCAAACCTAACAGGCTTGGCCATCCCCTCACCCAAATCCCTAATGCAGTAACCACAGCTTGGCTGATAGGACATCGGGTACACCCTGAGTCTATCAGTGCACCGTACCGCACATGTTGTGCTAATTAGGGACTCACTATGGTGATGGGAATGATGAATGGATGGATGGGGTCACTTACCATTAGGTCCTCCAGGCCGTCATCCTTGCTGTCATAGGGCACCACCTGGAACTTCCCCACTGCCATTGCTTCTCCCTCCTCTGAGGACATCACCGAGGACGCCACCTGGTGTGCTCCCCAGGACCTTTCAGGAGTCTGTCAGGAAGGCCTTGCAGTCTTACCAGAGTTGCTGTGTTGTAACCCAAGCCCACGTAGTTGATATTAAATGCAAAACAGTTCCAAAAATCAAACAGATTTTATTAAAACAACTGAGAATTAACTCATTCTCAGCTTATTCTAAATGAAATGAAAACAAAGTCCTTAAAACACCAGTCTTTAGTTTATCTCTGACCTTGGGATAATTAGGCAAACTGCCAAAGGCTTTTCTTGGCAACAGTTCAGGAACAGAAGAAATAACTACAGCCAAACACGAAGCAATTCTCGCAATGGTTATTTTCTGGCAAAGAGGCCAAGAGCCGTTGCTGGCCCTTTAAGCCTTATGGGAGGGGCCAATCATCTCTTGGCCCTACTCCCGAGTCATCCTCTCTGATTTAGCTGCTCCTGCCTTCTGGCAGCTTGTCTCATACATGCACTAGGAACAGGTTCCTCCTGTTCCTCTGCCTCTCTACTGTCAGCCTCTAGAGGCTCCAAAGTCCGTGCATCACTCCCCGATGGCCCTGGCCCCATCTCTGCCTCTGACACAGAGCCCTCATCTGGGCCTTCCCCAGCCTCCAGGACTGGCCCATGTTCTTCTTCAGCCTCATCGCTGTTCAACTCCGCTGCCAGCTCCGCAGGCTGCTGGCGGACCACAACATGCTGGCTGGTGACTTCGGTAACTGCGACAAAGGTGCTGTGCACTCAGCTGCAATGTGTCCCAGTTGGTTACACCAGAAACAGTGTAGGAGCAGTCAAACAGGCCTCACCATAGGGCCCAGGGCACTAGGGACAGGCCGGGTTCCACCAGTCATTCTGTCTATAGCCTTCTGGGGTCCAGGGGCCATGTCCCCCTTGGGACAGAACTCCCGTAACTCAGCATCCAAGTCAATTACCACCTGAAACCACTCTTGCAGCCGATGTGGAATACCCCAGTAAACACAGGCCTGGCGAAGATAGCGGTCCAATCCCACCCTGAATTGATGGACCAACAACCTTTCCAGCCAGGCTCTCAGTTTACCAGAACTCCTGGACATACTCCACCACTGGCTGGCCCCTCTGCTTTAGCGATAGGAGCTCTCTATCTGCCCGTTGCACGCGGGACCCATCCTTGAACTGGATTCATAGTGCCTCCAGGAAAAGACCCACATTTGCCAACTCCCAGGTGTGCTCACTGTGCAAGTCCGCTACCCACTCAGCAGCCTCACCTTCCAACACCACTGTCACGGCCACCACCATTTCCTATTGCGAGGGGTACAACCGGGTGTACTGGTCCAAATGGCTAATGGCTTGGCTCAGAAACAAGTGTTGGGGTTCCCGTTGAATGAATCCTGCAATGGCGGCAGATCCCACACCACCTGCTGGGGTCAATATCCTGGTGGCTATATGGGGCCCTGCAGCACATCCTCCACATCTGAGGCTTCACTTCAGCCATCTCTGGCACTGTACCTTCAGCCATCGCACTGGCTTCCTTCCTCCTATCTGGTCAACCTTAATGGCTGTGGAAGACAACGATGGGAATAATTAGAAATGAAAAGCGCTGATTTTGTCTCAAAGGTCCAAAGCCGGATCGGGTTAGGACCAAAGCAAACACACTCAGGACACCGAGAAACTCAGTAACCCAAACTTTAATCCTTAAAAGCAGGCCTTGGTACATGATGAGTAGGAAATACAGTCCCTTGCAAAGTCAGCGCTAGGAGCTCTCACCTCCCAGCGCACTATAAAGCGCACTTTATAGTCCAAGGACCATACCCTCTGACCGACCAGACATGCCTGCTTGTCAACCAACTGGTAGACCATGGTGGTGGCCTCCTCTCCCATCTGGCAGCAGCGGCATGACCTCCCAACCGGCGGCATGCTTCGGGGCCTTGCGCATCCCAACTGGAAGCCCGTGCAGGGGAGCGATCAGCTAGTGAGCGGCTGTTCAGTGCTGTCACAGGACGTCCTGCAGCCGCAGCCTCGCCCGTTGCTCCAGTTGCCTTCTCTGCTGTATGTTGCTCCATGGCCTTCCCCCTCCCCCCTCCAGGTATGGCGAGCCCTGGATCGGAGCTCAGCACAATAGTTATGAATATACTATAACTACTTTTTGCTTGTTTATTTATAACTGGGGATTACAAGATGCTTCAGTTATGTTGTTGAAGTTTATAAGAATTAGTCCAATATTTCAGGAAGGCATAGGGTAGAGCCTATTTCATCAAGGTGATGAAATCAGGACCCAATCATTATTTTCCTTTTGTGCTAGAAAGAAGATTGTACATTTCACATATTAAGCAAATAATAGTTTAACACTTAAGGTAGGACTATTATGTTGTCATTATTATTAGATAAATATCCCTCCTTTATTTTGTAAAACTCAAGGCAGTGTATATAGTTCTCCTGCTTCCTCTTTTCCTCACAACAGCCACCTATGAAGTTGGTTACACTGAGAAAGAATGTCCAGTCCAAAGTCAGATAGTTAGCTTTCATGCTTATGGAAGAACTAAAATTCAATTTCCCACCTTCCAGTCAAGTACCTTAACCACTACACCAAACTGGATAATTTCACTTGATGCTTGGCAAGTAAATTATTCGTTAGCACCTAGCAGATAGTGTAATTGCTATAGTAATTACAGTATTTAAGTATCTTGTATTCTAAAGGATTTTAAATGGTTGATTAAAATACATTAGCTACAAAGTGCTGGTATGTGGGCAGATAGACATCTGTCTTGTGATAACAAAATATTTTTATCCAAATATTTCTGTAATACTGCAAAAGGAAAATGAGTGCTCAGCCTAAGGTTAAATTCATCATTGGAGAGATAATATAATTTCTTCTATGTCTATCTCTATAAATGGGAGTTATTTACTAATCACTTTTCTCCATACAATGTTTGGTTGTTATATTTCTAGTGTCACAACATGTCTTTTCTTTGTCCATTTTTTACTTTCTCAAACTGTTTCTTGAATTTCTATATCCCTATTGGTACTACATAATGCTCTTCTTTCCTCTGCCTTTTGCCTCCCTCATAAAGAATTCTTCAAATTCTGAAAGGAAATGGAACTACTTAAATGTTCCAGAAGCAGATGGTGATACTGTAAGTTCTCTCACTTTTCTGATGCATGCAAGAGCTCATATCAGTTCTTGTTTCATTTCTACATATATAAATAGCAAAAATAAATGTCTGTTAATTGAAAATAATTCCTCCATTAAGTCACTGGCTAACAGTAACAGCATCATATCCTTAAAAGTGAGAATTGCTGTTTTGTAATAGAAAGATGTATGGAGAAGTAATTTTTCTATCTATTCAGATTATTTGAATGGAGGATAACATAGAATCATAGATTGTGATTTCAAGTTCAACCTCCTATTCATTGAATGAAAGCATCAGGCTGTCTAGCCTTTGTGTGAAAACATGAAGGGGATCCAACTAACTCTTTGAGTAATATCAAACTATAAGCTTTCCCCCTCTCTTATTATGCAACCAAAATCTGTGTTCCTGTCATTTAAGTCTATTATTCCGCATCCTACATTCTGGAATGGCAGGACCAGTGGTGGGATTCAAACATTTTTACAACCAGTTCTGAGGGTGTGGATTGGTGGACATGGCATGGCTTGGTGGGCGTGGCAGGGGAAGGATACTGTAAAATCTCCATTTCCACTCTACTCCAGGAGAAGGATACTGTAAAATCTCCATTCCCTCCCCATCCAGGGGAAGGTTATTGAAAAATCCCCATTTCTTCCCGATCAGCTGGTACTTGGGAGGCAGAGAATAGATGGGGGTGGGGCCAGTCAGAGTGGCATTTACCGGTTCTCTGAACTACTCAAAATTTCCGCTACCGGTTCTCCAGAACTGGTCAGAACCTGCTGAATACCATCTCTGGGCAGGACTCTTGTGATGTGTGGCATCCTTTCAGGTATTTGAAGGATGCTATAGGATCCTTTAACCATCTTTTCTCAAAGCTAAACAAAAGTTTTTCAATTTCTCTTTATGAGATTTTGTTTCTAATTCCCTGATTATCTTCATTGCACTTTTATTGGTCAGCTACAGCTTCTCTAAATCCTTATTAAAGTATAATGTTCAGACAGATTGTTGAAGTAGAGGGCAACAATTACTTTCTGTGACTTGCAAATGATATTTCTGTGGATGCAAGCACATAGCATTGCACTTGCTCAATTTGCTACTCTATTATACAACTATCATTTCCAATCAACTAGTATAAAAATACCTTTTATGGCAATGATTTTTGATAAATTAGATATCTCCCTTCCTATAATCCTGCGTTTGATTTATGTGTCTGAAATGAAGATCATCATACTGTTCTCTTTTACATTTTATTCTGTTATATTCAGCTCATTTCTCCAATCTGTCAGGGTTATTTTTAATATAACTTCTCTCTTCTTGCTGTTAGCTATTTCACCCATTTTTATATAATTTTGAAATATAGTAAATATTCCTTCTACCTCTTAATCCAAATAATTAGTGAAAATTTTGAATTGTAGGAAATTCAGGACTGATCCTTTTGGTATCACTTAGATACCATCTAATTTGATTAGGGGTCATTACTGATTTTCAGGTCAGCTATATATTTCATTCTCATGAGTGCCATCCAGATTACAGTGTGCTAATTGGCATGTCATGGGTACAAGTAGTCCTCATGACCACAATTGGGATCAGAACTACCATCACCAAGCAACTCGGTTGTTAAATGAATCTGATTTTACAACCTTTTTTGCCACTGCTGCTTAAGCAAATATGGAATCCCACATTGACTTTGCTTGTCAGAAGCTGACTGGGAAAGTTGCAAAAGGTGATCATGTGACGCTAGAATCCTGCCAACTGTTGTAAGTACAATAAGATTTCCAAGTGCCTGAATTTTGATTAGATGGCTGAGGATACTGCAGTGTGAGTGTGAGGATCAGTCATAAGTCACTTTTTTCAGCACTGTCATAACAGTTGCTAAACAGATGATTGTTAAATCGAGGATTAACTGTACTTGCTCAGATGTTTTGCTGAAGGTAAGATATACTACAACATATATCAGTTAAGGAAGTTAATTAAAACATAAGTAAATTATTTTGGAGTTAAAATATTAAACTAGGCACTGAAGTCTCCATCCATGGGTTTACCAGATGAGTTTAGGATGATCTCTGAGCTTAATTTTACAGATATGCACATACATGAGAACTGAATAAGACACTTTGAGCTATTTGATCAACTAAAATAAAATAGGTATGTTTCTTCAATGGGACATTGAGATTGAATTTTGCCCTCAACCAATTTTGTCACCCTCTCTTTTTCAGACCAGCATTAACAGTATGATGAGTGTTTACAGTGAAACTGGGGACTATGGAAATCTGAATATTAGTGGTGAAATTTGTCTGCAAATTAGCTACAGCTATAAAACAGGAGCCCTTAACATACTTGTAAAAAAATGCAAGAACTTGGCCATTGCTGATGAAAAGAAACAAAGAACAGATCCGTAAGCAAATCTCTCTCTCTCTCTCTTTTTTACTAAACTTCTATTTATTTACTATCCTAGTTATGTTTTCTTGTTAGATTTGCCTTCCCCAGATCTACTGTTTAATATAGTAGAATATCACACACTTATATTTGGGTTGGAGTTTACAAAAAGTGAAAGACAGCATGAGTTTCTCCCATCTTTTTATTGAAGCGTTACTCTCCCACGCCCTGGTTGAGACCCTGGTGGATGCCTGGGAAATGGCAGCCGCCGGGGCTCTCGACCGGGTCATGCCTTTGCAACCTCTGACTCGGTGCAGATCCTGGTTTGCCCCTTGGTTTACTGAGGAGCTCCAGGAGTTGAAGCGCCGGAGGAGAGGCCTAGAGAGTTGTTGGAGATCCAGTCGATCCAAAGCAGACCGTGCACAGCTAAGATCTTTTACGAGGTTTTATCTTGTGACGATGGAGGCAGCAAAGCGTTCCTACTTCTCTGCCCTCATTGCATCCGCAGATAATTGTCCAGCTGCCCTGTTTAGGGTGTCCCACTCCCTCTTGAATCGGGAAGCAGGGGATGACCCTCTGCGGGGCTGGGCCGAGGAGTTTAGTCAACATCTGCTGGACAAGATCGCTCAGATCCGGGCCAGTCGGGACTCTGACTGGGCAGGGTCGGACGGGGGGGGGGGGAGATGACTGGTCGTGTTATCTGGGAAGAGTTCAACCCTGTTACTCTGGAAGAAGTGGGGCTTCTATAGGAAGCCGCTGGGTGAGATCATCTGGGGTTTTGGGGTGAGGTATCATCAGTATGCTGATGATACCCAACTTTTTATATCCACCCTAAACCAACCCAGTGATGCCCTCGACGTGATGTCCTGGTACCTGGAAGCGGTGCAGATCTGGATGGGGAGGAACAGGCTTCGGCTGAACCCTGCTAAGACCGAGTGGCTGTGGGTACCAGTGTCTCGGTCCGATCAAGAGATTCCACTTTTGGTCATAGGGGATGAGGTGTTGCCCCCCTGTAGACAGGGCACACAACTTGGGTGTCCTCCTGGACTCACGGCTAAATTTGGAAGATCATGTAATGGCTGTAACCAGGGGGGCATTCGGCCAGGTTTGCCTGGTGCGCCAGTTGCACCCCTATTTTGACCTAGATGCCCTACACACGGTTACTCATGCACTGGTCACCTCCTGTATTGACTACTGCAATGCCCTCTACATGGGGCTGCCCTTGAAGACCACTCCGAAACTTCAGCTGGTGCAGAATGCGGCCGCGCGGGTTGTGATGGGAATATCCCGACACTCCCATGTTACACCTCTCCTACGCGACTTGCATTGGTTGCCAGTTGCCCTCCAAGTGAGATTCAAGGTGCTGGTGATTACCTATAAGGCCCTACATGGCTTAGGCCTGGGATATTTGGGGGACCATCTGCAGCCAGCAACAGCTTCCCATCGCCCGGTGCGTTCCCACAGAGAGGGCCTCCTCAGGGTGCCGTCGGCCAGACAGTGTCGGCTGGTGACCCCCAGGGGGAGGGCTTTCTCTGTGGGCGCACCTACCCTTTGGAATCTACTGCCCTTGGAGCTCCAGGTGGCCCCCGACCTCCGCTCTTTCCGCTGCGACCTGAAAACGTGGCTTTTTTGTTTGGCCGGCCTGGACTAATGGGGTTTTAATTCTAATTTAATTTTAACTTGTTAGTCTTAATTGTACTTTTAACTGTTAAATTATGAGATTTGGATTTAATTTTTTAACTTTTTATTAGATGTTTCTTAACTGTTGTGAGCCGCCCTGAGTCCGGCTGGAGATAGGGTGGCATATAAATCAAATAAATAAATAAGTAAGTAAGTAAGTAAGTAAGTAAGTAAGTAAGTAAGAAAGAAAGAAAGAAAGACAAGAGCCATATCATTTTTAGTCCTTGAAAAGTTTGAGAAACTACAGTTGCTTCAGTTGGTGAAATCTAGAATTGACTAGTGAGATGGGCAGCATAGAAGTTTAATAATAATAAAAAAATCAATCTGGAGATGGTGAACTGGTATGAATATTTTTCCAGTTTGATAACAGTGCTACACTGTCTGGGAGAAAAGACTTAATTTTGGTGAAATGAAAAACCCATGTTTATTTATTTTATTTTATTTTATTTTATTTTATTTTATTTTATTTTTTATTTTATTTTATTTTATTTTATTTTATTTTATTTTATTTATTTATTTTATTTTTTTTTTTATTTTATTATTTTATTTTATTTTATTTTATTTTATTTTATTTTATTTTATTTTATTTTTATTTTATTATTTTATTTTATTTTATTTTATTTTATTTTATTTTATTTTATTTTATTTTATTTTATTTTATTTCTATACCGCCCTTCTCCCGAAGGACTCAGGGCGGTGTACAGCCTGATTAAAAGCACAAAGACAGACAAAATTTAAAAATAATTAAAATTATTAAATGATAGGTTCAATTTAAAACCCCAAATTTAAAATCCCATTTTTAAAAACCCAATTAAAATCTTTACCTTGATAGCCCAGCCTGGCGGAACAACAAGGTTTTGAGGGCACAGCGAAATACACAGAGATCAGAGATTTTACGAATTTCTGGGGGCAGCTCATTCCAAAGGGCAGGGGCTCCCACAGAGAAGGCCCTCCCCCTGGGTGTCACCAGCCGACATAATTTGGCCGATGGCACCCTATGGAGACCCTCTCTGTGGGAGCGGACTGGCCGGTGGGAGGCTACTGGTGGCAGAAGACTGTCTCGAAGGTATCCAGGTCCAATGCCATGGAGCGCTTTAAAGGTGGTGACCAACACTTTGAATCGCACCCGGAAGACCACTGGGAGCCAGTGCAACTCGCGCAGGAGGGGTGTCATGTGGGCACAACGAGTTGCGCCCATAACCACCCACGCGGCCGCATTCTGGACCAGTTGGAGCCTCCAGGTGCTTTTCAAGGGGAGCCCCATGTAGAGAGCATTCCAGTAGTCCAGTCGGGAGGTGACAAGGGCGTGAGGCATCACGATCCAGAAAGGGCTGCAACTGGCAGATCAGGCGAACCTGATAAAAAACCCCCCTGGCCACAGCCGTCATGTGTTCTTCTAAAGACAGCCGTGCGTCCAGGAGGACACCCAGATTGCGAGCCCTCTCTGTGGGGGGTAAAGACTCACCCCCAATAGTCAGCGATGGCACCAGCTGACTATATCACGACGCCGGGAACCACAGCCACTCAGTCTTGGGGGGGTTGAGTCTGAGCCTATTTCTCCCCATCCAGACCCGCACGGCCTCCAGGCAGCGGGACATCACATCAAGGGCATTGTTAGGGTGGTCTGGGGTGGAGATGTACAGCTGAGTATCATCAGCGTACAGATGGACTCTCACCCCAAAACCACGGATGATCTCACCCAGCGGCTTCACATAAATGTTGAACAGAAGGGGCAAGAGGACCGACCCCTGCGGCACTCCCCATGCAAGGCGCCTCGAAGTCGACCTCTGCCCCCCCTGTCAACACGAACTGCGAGTGGTCGGAGAGGAAGGAGGAGAACCACCGTAACACAGTGCCCCCTATTCCTAACCCCCTCAACCGCTGCAGCATGATATCATGGTCGATGGTATCAAAAGCCGCTGAGAGATCTAACAGGACCAGGACAGAGGAGCAACCCCTGTCCCGAGCCCTCCAGAGATCATCCACCAACGCGACCAATGCCGTTTCAGTGCTGTACCCCTGCCTGAAGCCCGACTGGTATGGGTCCAGATAGATAGGTTCATCCAGGTGCCTGGGCAGTTGTCGTGCCACCACACTCTCAACAACCTTCGCCACAAAACGAAGGTTGGAGACCGGACAGTAGTTGGCTAACGGTAGAAGCCAGGAAAGGCTTCTTGAGGAGGGGCCTCACCACCGCCTCTTTCAAGGCAGCGGGAAAGCCACCCTCACTCAGAGAAGCACTTATAATCCCCTGGAGCCAGCCTCGTGTAACCTCCCGGGAGGCCAGTACCAACCAGGAGGGACACGGGTCCAATAAACATGTGGCGGCACTAATCCTACCCAGAACCCTGTCCACATCCTCGGGAGCCACAGGATCAAACTCCTCCCAGATAGTGTTCTCAAGACCTACCCTCGTCTCCTCCCCCGGACTCACCCAGTCGGAGTCCAAGCCTTCCCGTATCTGAGCAACTTTATCATGCAGGAATTGCACAAAATCCTCAGCTCGACCCTGCAAGGGATCTTCCCGCACTCCCCCCTGAAGAAGGGAGTGGGTCACCCTAAACAGAGCGGCTGGGCGGTTCTCTGCAGATGCGATAAGAGTGGAAAAATAGTTAGATTTTGCTGCTTTTATCGCCACTAGGTAGGTCTTGATATAAGACCTCACCAGTGTCCGGTCGGAATCGGATTGACTAGTCCTCCAAATGCTCTCTAGACGTCTTTTCTGACGCTTCATCTCTCTCAGCTCCTCGGAGAACCAAGGAGCCAATTGAGGTCGGCATCGGGTCAGAGGCCGCAAAGGCACGACACGGTCCAAAGCCCCGGCGGCCGCACTCTCCCAGGCGGCCACCAGGTCTTCAGTCGAGTCGTGTGCCATGGTCTCAGGAAACGGCCCAAGCTCCGTCAGGAACCTTTCGGGATCCATCAGGCGCCTGCGACGGAACCATTTAATCGGCTCCGTCTCCCTGCAGCGGGGGGAAGCGGCAGGAAAGTCCAAGCGAAGAAGAGAATGATCTGTCCATGACAAGGGTTTAATGTCTAAATCCCCTCTACCAAGATCATTCAACCACTGACCAGAGACGAAAATCAAGTCCAGAGTGTGTCCCCCTGTGTGAGTGGGGCCCTAAACTAATTGGGTCAGGTCCATGGCCGCCATGGAAGCCATGAACTCCCGAGCCACCTCTGACGCCTCACCTGCAGATGGCAGGTTGAAATCCCCCATGACAATAAGTCTGGGGTATCAACTGCCACCCCGGCAATAACATCGAGCAGCTCGGGCAGGGTCGCTGCCACGTGGCAGGGAGCCAGGTACGTAGTCAGCAAACCCATCTGCCTCCCACGGCCCCACTTCACGAGGAGGGACTCACATCCCCTATTTCAGGAACAGTGGTCTCCCTCGGACTAAGACTTTCCCTAATAATCGCTGCCACTCCCCCACCACTCCCCTGAGCCCTTGGCTGGTGAAATGCGCAGAAACCTGGTGGGCACATTTCGACGAGGGGAACCCCCCCCCTCGTGGCTCAACCAGGTCTCCGTAATACCTGCCAGGTCTGCACCCCCCTCCAAAATAAGATCACAAATGAGGGGGACTTTGTTAACAACCGACCTGGCATTACATAACATCAGCCACGGGCCCAGGGCCTGAGGCTCTGTGCAATCCAGGACCCGAGTCGCGCATTGGGGGCCGGAGTGCGCAATCGCTCATAGGCAGCGTATGCGCACCCCCAGAACATGATGTGGTCCCCTGCGCCCATCATATCTGCCCCTCCCACTCACTATTTCAATTGCACTGCCCTTCCCGACACCCCGCTGTTTCCCAGACAGATTTCCTTCCATGCTCCCTCTGCTGCGCCCAAGCGACCCATCATCCCGCCCGGTGGCTATATGAACCCCCCCCCCGGTCCATCTCTACAACCCCCTCCCCTCTTCCCAGGTCCCCTTAAAATTTTCCTTAAAAATCCCGATAAAAAACCCCTCAACCCCCTCTTTGCTGCATGCCATCTCTCAGGGTCCCAAAACCCGTCATTAAGAAAGGCCCTCAATAATGTGGAGGGCCAGGCCTGCGAGAGGGGGGAATCTCGCAGCGCAAGACGGTTGGCTTTTTGGAGCATCAACCGAATCAAGGACGGGAAAGGAAGGCCAGTCCGGGAGTCTATCATAGTCCAAAGGGATAACTGAGCATAAGAGATCATACAATATCCATTTGTAGGGCTGGACTCCACTGTCCTCTCACGACAGGGAGAAGGTCCAATGTTCTTTTTTCCCCAACAGAGGCTAATAACCAACCATCCTCTCACGACGGCTGATCCCGTTACAGGTGGTTATCGGAAATGATGTTACGTCTTCTCTGTTGGGATATAGAAAGTCCCTCAACTCCCTCATAATGGTGCTCAGTCTCTCCTACCAGCGAGGGCATGAGTGGAACATGGTGAGGGGTCCAAAGTATAGCGGTTTGTAAACCCCTCCCCCCATAAAGAGGGGGGGAAGGGGAAGGCGGGGAGAGGGAGAGGGGAAACAATATCCCCAGAGGAGGGTATCATCTCCTCCTCTGCTGATTTATAAGTCCAGGCCTGTTCACCTCGGCTTCTTCTCTTCACCCTCAGCAAAACTACCATTGCAGTCTTCTGCGATGGACACCATCAACGGCACCAGTGCCGCCCCCCCCCAGCACCATAAACAGATGCGTCTATGAGGGGGGACAACCAACGCTGCCTACTAGCCTCCATCAACAGCACCGCCTTGGCTCTGTTGCTTTGAGTGTGTGTGGGGGAGGAGGGGGCGCATCGCCCCACGGCTACTTGCACTACCGCCGGAGTCACCATCCCCCTCCAGCCCCTCGTCCTTGGTAGAAATAAAGACCGCAGCCAGATGATTCCCTGTGGCCAAGCCAAGCTGCCACCACCATCGCTATCGCTGGTGCCACCACTGCTGCCACTACTGCCACCGCCGCCATTGCCTTCTCGGCACTCTGTGATGTTTTGCAGTGCCGCCATCGCCGCCATATCCTCGCGGCGCTCCAAGGCAATTCCGCAGCACCCAGGGTGGTTCCACAGTGCCACCGCTATTACCTCCGTGGTGCTCCGTGGCATTCCACAGCGTCCTCAGCGTCTCCAGGGCCTCTTCCAAAACGCTAGCCCCTCGCTCCAGCCACGACATCACAGGGGGAGTAAAAATCCTCCCCAGGTTGGGCAGGGGCTCTCCTTGCTGGGGCTCGGGTCGCAGACGGATTTAATGACCCTACACCTCCCGAAACAGCCAAACAGCTCCCATCGTCGGACCAGGAGCTAACCCAACACCGCCATCTTCGAGCATGCGCAGCTCGCAAAATTTACCGCTAAATGCCTTGTGCTGATATTCTTACTTCTCTTTTCCTATCCTAAAAACTTTCCAATTAGAAAATGCACATTTAAGTTATGATTGTCAGCTGACCATAATTCTCTGCAATTTTGTTCTGGCATGTGTAGTATGATTCAGTAACTATAAAAAGGAACCAGAGTTGAACAATTGTTTTGTTCCTTTGTTTTTCTCTACAATTATAACTAAAAACATAATCAATTTAAAGAAGCTGATTTTTTTTCTGTCTTCTCCTGCCCAAAAAGTGAATGATGGGAAAAATGAGAGGATTATAGCTTTTCTTCCACATTCTCTTGCAAATAATAGAAGGCTCTTCAGGAAGAGATTTCTCTCAGTGCAGTAAGACTGGAGAATGAAAGAAAAATTCATAGGAGTTTTTTGTGGTGTTCTTGTTTCCTTGTTTTCTATAAGTGAAAGTAATTCTGGGTACACTGAAGCCTCTTTTGAAGTGAAAGTAATTCTGGGTACACTGAAGCCTCTTTTACCTGCCTGAGGACAGATATGGTAGAAAGGAATGAGGATAAAAAATAAAAGGCTGAGTAGTAAGGCAGGAACTTTCCACAAACTCTAATATTACAGCCCACAGGCTCATACAAACTACACTTAGCACTTGGTAATTTACTATATTCTGAAAAATGGATTGTATGCCTCATCTTAATAATGGATGGAAACTGAACAAGGAGAGATTCAACCAGGAAATAAGAAGAAATTTTCTGACAGTGAGAACAATCAACCAGTGGAACAGCTTGCCTTGAGAAGTTGTGGGAGCTTCATCACTGGAAGCTTTCAAGAAAAGACTGTCATGTCATCTGTTAATCTGTTAGAATCTTTCTCAAGGGTCCCGAGAAGCAGTAATGGAAAGATCATCACTCTACAGTCTGGGATTGTGAACTTCCCAGCTACATGCAGTTGGTCATTGTGGGACAAAGAATGGGCTGGACCTGAAGAGTAACAGTTCTCTAGCCTCTAATTTGCATTGTTTGTATGAAATTCTGTGTTTCAATAGATTTCTGACTGCATATTTCTGGTGTTAGTACATGGAACTACTAGCCAACAAATAACATTTTGGGGAAAGATGACACCTGTTTTTTTATTTGCATGGCAGAAAATCAGGAGCAGGAATTATAATTCTCACTCAGGCTTGGTGTGGTGTCCAGAATGCATGTAGGAAGATAGATAGATAGATAGATAGATAGATAGATAGATAGATAGATAGATAGATAGATAGATAGAGAAGTGGGGGGGGGAGATAGGGGTGGGCTGCTGGGGGTTTGCAGGGGTTTGGGAGAACCTCTAGCTAAGATTCTATGCAGTTCGGAGAACCCCCAAATCTCACTCCTGTCTGGCCCCGCCTAGCCTGCCCCTCCCAGGAGTCCCCACATGGCCCGTTTTGGATGCAGGTAAGTGCAGGGTGTGCGCGGAGGCTCGGGGAGGGCGAAAACCGGGCCTACCTGAAGTTCAGGAAGGCTGTAATGGGCCCATTTCCAACCTCCAGAGGGCCTCCGGAGCCTGAGGAGGACATTTTCACCCTCCCAGAGGCTTTCCTTGAGTCTCCAGAGCCTGTGGTGCAGGAGGCTGACTAGGCCATGCCCACCATAGCCACGCCCACCCAGCAACCAGGCAGAGAACCCCTTGCTAAAATTTTTGAAGCCCACTCCTTGGCTAGATAGATATAGATATATAGATATATATATTTTCTTCCCACAAATATATATTTATTTGAACTGTATATATTTCCAATATATCTCTTGCTACATAAAACAAACAAAAAACATCTGATGTACCATAACACATGAGAGAGCAAGTATAGTATAAAGTATAACCTTTCGGATGTCTCTGATTTAGTTTTGACAATGTTGTAGATAAGAATTTTTTGTATTATTTATTTATTTTTGATTTATATGCCGCCCTTCTCTGGAGACTCAGGGCGGCTTACAAGTCATTAAGCAATAGCCTTCATACTTTTGTATATTTTATACAAAGTCAGCTTATTGCCCCCACAAATTGGGTCCTTGTTTTACCTACCTTAGAAAGGATGGAAGGCTGAGTCAACCTTGAGCCTGGTGAGAATTGAACTCGCAGTAATTGCAGGCAGCTGGAAGCTAAATACTACCTATGGACATCTACATGTTTGTATACCAATATTGTAACTTTTAGTAAAATTGATAAATCTTCTATTATTTATTCTGTAGTTATGTCAAAGCATATCTTCTGCCAGACAAGTCTCGCCAGAACAAAAGAAAGACAAAAATCAAAAGTAATAGCACTGATCCAGAATTCAATGAAATGCTTAAGGTAAGGTAGGAACTGGGACAACATCATATTTATTAATATTTTCTTTATGGTCAAAATGAGAAATTATTGATTGGCTGGTTGGTTGGTTTAAATTATACGCTGCACAAAGTGGTGGGATTCAAATAATTTAACAACTGGTTCTCTGCTCTAATGACCGGCTGGGTGTCATGTGACTGGGTGGGCGTGGCCAACTTGATTGGTCTCACCTTTAGGAAATTTCTCCTTAGTCCAACTCAAAATAAAATAGCACGATAAAATAGCACTGTTCCAGTATTTAGCATAGCATAGCATAGCACAGCACAGCACAGCACAGCACAGCACAGCACAGCACAGCACAGCACAGCATAGAATAACAGAGTTGGAAGGGACCTTGGAGGTCTTCTAGTCCAACCCCCTGCTTAGGCAGGAACCCCTACACCACTTCAGATAAATGGTTATCAACTTTGCAATCCTATTCCAAATTAATAAAATCAATTCTGCTAATTAGAACGTATATTTAAAAAGACATAAGAACTCTGACAAGAAATTCCTGCTCTGTATTAATACTTTTAAAATGCCTTCACTGGCCTAATCCTGTCAAGAACAAGGAGAAATCCAACCTAGAAATAAGGAGGAATTTTCTAACAGTGAGAACAATCAACCAATGGAACAGCTTGCTTTCAGAAGTTGTGGGAGCTTCATCACTGGAGGCTTTCACGAACAGATTAGACTGCCATTTGTCAGAAATGGGTCTCCTGCTTGGGCGGGGGTTGGACTAGATTGGACTAGATGACCTACAAGGTCCCTTCCAACTCTGTTAATCTGTATGATCTGTAGGTTTCTATTGTTTCTGTGTTGACTGCATTCCTGCAGTTTTGTTATCGCAACTAAGTATTCGCCTGTTAAATGGTTCTTGGCTGTCTGCCCGGGGCTATTAGCTGATGGGAGAGAGAGAAAAAGACCACTTTCTTTCACTTTATTTTCTCCCCTGAGGTTTTTTTAAATTTTTTAATTAATATATATAAAAAGAGCAACATGTTCAAAATCCATATAAACAGTGTGTTGTCTGGTTACAATTCTTTTGAGTAAAATTCATAGTAACAATAATAGCATTCTCCAATAGTAACCTTATAATAATAGTGCTTTCCCCTCATAATAATTACTAATACTAATCAAAATTAATCAAAATTAATAAGTTACAGTAAACAACCCCAATAATAAAATTCATCTTTCTCTTGTAATTTTCGAAGTTCTAACTCCTGTTTTTCTCATCCAACCATCGATAGAACAGATCCCATACCTCAAAATATTCAGTGTCTTCCTTTTCTTTAATTTCAAATGTTAGTTTATTCATTTCTGCGCATTCTAAAATTTTTGTTATTATCTTTTCTTCTGTGGGGATCTTCTCGCCTTTCCAATGTTGTGGGAACACGATTATGGCCACTGTTAACACATGCATTATTAAGTATGCATTTCTTTTACTGTATTTGTCTGGTATGATGCCCAACAGAAATGTTTTTGATTTTAGATCTATATGTTCTTTTATCATCTTTTCTAGCCAGGTGTGTATTCTGGTCCAGTATTTTTTTGCTTTCAGATATGTCCACCACATGTGATAATACGAGCCTGGGATTTGGCTGCACTTCCAATACTTGGCAGACATATTCTTAAACATTCTAGCTACCATATTTTTCGAAGTATAAGATGCACTTTTTTTCCCCCTAAAAGGGGGTGAAAATTTAGGTGCATCTTATACACCGAATGTAGCCCCGCCCACGCACTGGCTCCCACCCTTTGGCCTCTGCTTTGCAGCAGTTACCTCCTTGCAAGCAAACAGCAAGAAAAAGCCAATAGCTCTACCATCAACTCAGATATGTTTCCTTTTTTCCCTTCCTTGATATTTTGAAACCTCAAGAAGTGTTCAGCCTTTTCCATTTGCAACTGAATTACAGTTCCTTTGAGTTCTTTATTGGCCTGTGTTAGTCTCTGATTCATTTCGTCCGGGGGGCTTTCTACTTGTTCTGACTTTTCTTCAATTATTTTAATCTTTTCTTCATTTTTGGTTATCATTTGCTGAAAAGTCCCCAGTTTTTCATTGATACTTTGCATTTTTTCCTTAACCTCTCCCATCTCAGTTCTCATCTCACCTATCTTCATCTTTATTTCTTTATGGTTCTTGATTATGGCCTCTTGTAGTGATTGGAACAATGTTTGCGTATCTTTTTGAATTGCCCAATGTATTTGTAATCCACAAAGAGTCAAATGATCTCAAGGACAAATTTCTATGTCTTTCCCATCTGTTTCTAAGTATCCAGTGTAAACAGTTTGCAGATGTTAATTCCACAGGACAGCTGTCAGTGATGGGTTGCTCCTGGTTCGCACAGGTTCGCAAGAACCGGTAGTAAAAATTTGTAGTAGTTCGGAGAACCGGTAATAACATTGGCTGGCCATGCCCCCGAACCGGTCCCCGGCCTGGTCGCCGCTCGCTTACCCTGCCCACCTTCGGCTGAAGAGGTTGTAGGAAAAAAAATGCCTTTAAAAGCCTCTGGCGATCCCAGCTGAGTTGCCTGATCGTCAGAGGCTTCTGAAAACATTTTTTCCTGCAACCTCTTAAGGTTGTAGAAAAAATGCTTTTAAAAGTAAAAAAAAAAAAAAAAAGGTTGGCCATGCCTACTCAGTCACATTACTCCCCACCAAGCCATGCCCACAAAATAAGCCACGCCCACAGAACTAGTAGTAAAAAAAATTAGAACCCACCCCTGACAGCAACCAATTAATTTTATCAGCTCAGTTCAGTTCTAAGGAACCCAAGCCTTTTGTATTGCATCAGACTATTCAGGGTCTTCTCCCTTTGCTTGACCAGTTCCACCAGCAGATGGCACCCTTATTCTATTTCTCCACTTTCATCCAAATCCATATCCAGGAGTGAATAAAAACCACCTCCTCTTTTTTAGAGTCTCATTTTCAGAAAGATGTTAATTTCTGGGGTAAATTCCTCAACAGGAGTTGGAAATTAAGAATAGCTCACCCAGATCACACATGCTGTTTTCTGCTCATCTCCTTTATTACTCTTTCATCAGAGCTGTCACAGCCGCGATCTGGCCAGTTTAATGGCTGTCTTTTCCCCCCATCAGAATGACGAGTTTTCCAGGGTCAAATAGTGAGTTTGCAGGCTCCCTGTGATTGGCGAAACTTCTACCTCCATCATCTCTCCAAGGTGGCTTGGATCCAATTGAGTCCAATTGGACCTCCTGTCAGGTAGAAAACAGCAGCTTAACACTCGCCATTCATGCCACGACGTCAACTCTCTCTACATGGGGTTCCCCTTGAAGAGCACCCGGAGGCTCCAACTGGTCCAGAATGCGGCCGCGCGGGTAGTCATGGGAGCCGCATGGTGCTCCCATACAACACCTCTCCTGCGTAAGCTGCACTGGCTCCCAGTGGTCTTCCGGGCGCAGTTCAAGGTGTTGATTATCACCTTTAAAGCACTCCATGGCATAGGACCTAGTTATCTTTGAGACCGCCTGCTGCTACCGACGGCCTTCCATCGACCTGTGTGCTTCCACAGAGAGGACCTCCTCGGGGTGCCATCAGCCAAACAATGTAGGCTGGTGACCCCCAGGGGGAGGGTCTTCTCTGTGGGGGCACCTACCCTCTGGAATCAGCTGCCCCCAGAGATAAGGAGAATCCAAGACCTCGGTGCCTTCCGCTGTGCCCTTAAAACCTTCTTTTTCCAGCAAGCCGGGCTGGCCTAACACTTTTTAAAATGTTTTTAATTGTTTGTTATTGTTTTTAATCATGGGGCCAAATTTATATATATCTTTTTAATTGTATTTTAATGTTTGTAGTTTATGCTTTTACTTGGCTGTTCACCGCCCTGAGTCCTCAGGGAGAAGGGCGGTATACAAATTTAAAAATAAATAAATAAATAAATAAACTCCCCCCCCCCAAGTTTTTTTTTTTATTGAAAAAGTTTTACAAATACAAATTTTCCCATTTCCCCCCCCTTGCCTCCCTAACCCTCCCTAACCCTCCCCTCCTCCCATGACTTCCCCAAGGTGAAATCCAAATCCAAATCATATTATATCATACTTTATCGCCCTTCTATTCTCCCCCCTGTGTACTATATATTTCTACATGACATTAAACAATTCTACCCCCTATATACTATACATTTCTACACAACATTCAACTAAAAGCTATCTGGTACTTTCTAGTTTGATATTTATTCTGCACATAATCTATCCATTTCTTCCACTCCCATACATAAGTCTCTTGAGTCCGGTCTTTTAAGTATGCTGATATCTTTGCCATTTCTACAAAACTGGCCACCTTCAAAGTCCATTTTTCAATAGTAGGCAAAACATCCCTTTTCCAATATTGACCAATCAGTAACCTAGCCGCTGTCACCCCCCCCAAGTTTTAAAGGGGCTAGAATTTTTCTGCTGAGGAAATGGCTATGTAGCTATTTCTTCTTTTGCTTTTCCCTTCCTTTGGTTAATTACAAGTAAGCAGGAATGTCTGAGGTTTGTGTGAGCTACTGGCAGGCAGGCAGCCAGCCTTGACTATTCAGTTGGTTCGCAGAACTCCACAAAGAGTTAACAAACGGTTCTCATGAACCGGTGTAAACTGGCTAAATCCCACCACTGGCTGCCCAGAACCTTCATGATAAAGATGTCCTTGAGTTGAGCTATGTTTCGGATGATTCTGTGGACATGTCCAGCTAGTTTTTGGGTTGTGTATGTAAGTTATTTGCTCCTACTTTCCTAAGATATGTTTTTCAACTTCCCATTCTAGTCTTCAGTCCTGAGTTTCCTTGATATCACCCATGCGCTATGTGGCTATTTGTTTCAGTCCACTTTGTCTAGATATTTTTGAATTTTCTGTTCATCTAAAGCCATTCTCCCATATTTGCATCATCCACAAAACAGTTCCATTATCTTAGTCATTGATAAACATTTGAATTGCACACAGTCAAAAACAATCATTGTGGCATTCCACTTGATTCTTCTCTCCAAGATGAAATGAGATTGTTCAGCCAGCTAAGTCCATCTAACAGTAGTTTCTTCTACTCCATATTTTCCATTATTTACTTATTTAAATGTTTGTGCCATTCAATTACAAAACAACTGTGGGTGGTCTCTTTATTAAGAAAAATATGTACCATGAGGAACTCTGTCAAAGGCTTTGCTGAGAACCTGAGAACATTCCAGATCAATGAGCTGTAGTTCTATTATTAAAGAAGGAAATATGGTTCATTGGCACAATTTGTTTGCAACAAAACCACACTGGCTCCTGCTAATTGCAGTATGCATATCCAAGTGCTCACAGACATGTTCTTTTATAATTTGTTTGAGGACCTTGCCTAATGTAGACATTAAACTGACAATCCTGTACACTTCCTGGGCATTTGCTTCCCATTTATTTATTTAAAGGAGAATATTTGTAGCTTAGGGTTGAAATGAAGAGTTCTTGGTTCTTTCTGAGCTCAGAGAGCACCAAGGACTTCTCATTTATTTAATTGTTCTTTTTTTTAAAAAAGGGTTTTCAATTATATAATTCAAGACAGATAAAAAATGTGAAACACTTGTGGAATTTAAAGAACAACTTTTTTAATAAAAATAATTTTATAATTTTTAGAGAATTTAGTATCACCTGTTCATTTTCTTTCTATTTTAATAATTAATAATGTTTATTTTAATAATGAGTAAAATCAATATGCATAAAGGAGGAGATGGAAGGACTATAGTTTAAGACGTGTAAACAAGTTTTCAGGAGAATAATGACTTTTTATGCATTTCCCCTTCATAATTTTAATTGCACTTGTAGGAAGGGAAAATATTGCATCATTTATTATCTGTTAATAACTTTGGATATACTTAGAAGTTCCATTCTCTCACTTACTGGTTTCTAAAAATATTTTCCTTAAAAATATGCTCCTTTTCTATCCCCACTCAATAGTATGTCATTAGCCACACGCAGCTTGAGACTCGGACTCTGCAACTTTCTGTCTGGCATTATGACAGATTTGGGCGTAACAGCTTTCTGGGAGAAGTAGAGATTCCCTTGGACTCCTGGAACTTTGAAAATCAAATTGATGAATGGTTCATGCTTCAGCCCAAGGTGAGAAGGTCCTGTTGGTTTAGAGAAGTGGCATGCAAATTTATGAAGAAGTTAGAATTCATGCAACAAAGAGAATTGACAACAGTCTAGGCTTTTCTTTGTATTGGACAGCATTTTTTTTTTAAACAGCAAGCTGTACAAATAGGGAACTGGGAGAAAATAACTTCATTTGCTTTGTGAAGTTGAAGGCAACTTAGCTGAAAGATGGGTCCACTGTATAATGTTCTTTGAGTTTTGAAATTAAAGCCATCACAACAATAAAACTACTGAGGAATTATTGTGTATCCCACAAAGGCTGTATCAAACTACAGATGCCAGTGTTTTCCTGCAGTTTGGACAGATCAGTTTGTTCCTGTCTGACAAACTGCAAGTTTTATCATTCCATTTGCAATCTAATATGTGAAATCTGTTCTTTTTACCTTCTGTGCTTCTGTAGTCCAAAAGGAATGGATAATTCCTGTAACACATATTTTAGTCTGTTACGAAGACAAGTATATCTATTTTTGGGGAAGACCTCTAACTCACTTATCGCTCTCCAGATATTGTGAAAGTAAAATTGCACTATTGCTCATCATCAGTCATGCTGGCCGTGGTTAAGGGGAAATGGAAGGCTATTTATTGCCCATCTTTGATTTACAAGATAGTGCAGAAATTTAAAAAAATATTCTTAACTTTCAGAATTACTTTGTGATTTGTCATAACAATCCTAACAATTTTTTAGCACCTGGATTCATGAAGAATTTTGGCTACTCAAGCCAGATAAATGCCATAGTTAGTTATATGAGTTACATCTCTTTCCTGAAACATCTGGCCTTCTCCAAACATATGTGGCTCTATGTGGTTCTGGTTTCATTTTTTAAAACTTGATACCATTGTATATTTAATTGTTCTAATATGTATTCATCTTTGTTCCTTTTCTTGTTTCCCTCCCTACCCTAATGCTTGAGTTATTTCTGATTTACTTTGTTTTGTTGAAATTTGAAAATACATTAATGTGATAAATTTGATAAAAAAACAGAGGAATAGCAAAACCATCATGATATTATTGAAGTCTGCATACAGCTTAGAGTTAAGTGGGAATCGTAGTGACAAGGTATACTATCAATTAGATAAATATCAGAACAATGCTGAATGTCACAAGACCCCTTAGTTCCCATTTCTATCCCTATTAAAGAACTAGCAGTGGTTTTGCAGGAAAGCTCCAGTTTTACAATGATCCAAATTCTTTATTAAATTTAAACTAGCATTCCTATAGCCTCCTACGAAGAAAGCCTGTCTTAGAAGCACCCTCATGTTGCAGTGGGAAAGTTGGTCACTTTTCTTCTCTATCTTCAGCTACTAGACAAAGAGATGGCACGTGTTGGACAGATTGAAAGAAGCTTTGCAGTGGTTAAAGCTGTCTTACAAGAGAGACAAAAATACCTAGGAACTGGGCATTTTGTTATATATTTTATGTATTTTATTTTATATGTTATGAATATATTACAAATATGATATTAGTTAGGAATATAGAAAGCCTGCATATAGAACACCTGTGATATGAACTTTTTATGAACTTCTGTTATGAAACCATAGTTAGTCTTTTCATGAACTCACTAGGAAACTCATGTTGCTGGAATGTGTATACTACTGATAAAGAGAGATTCTGGGTATGTGTATGAGTGATTTATTGTTGGTGATACCAGGTAGTGCATTAGTGGGCATGAGGAATGCAATGGGATTCTTGGAATGAACAGTAAGGGTGTAAAGTTCCTGATGTGGCTGGGACAAGATGTACCATACACATGGACTTTGAGTAAACAAGTTGGGTATAAAGAGAAGACTCAATGAAGCCAGACTCCTGTTGGAGCAGGGCATGCCCTGAATCTGCTTCCTAGCCCACTGATCCAGCCTGATCACCTGTTTTGAGAGTGTATGTGAGTATTGTGTGAATGAGTAGCCTAGTTGGGTAGTAATACTTACAGCAATTTGAGTAGCCTTGTTGGGCACAGTTATTTGAATAACCTTTTTTTTTTTTAATTAAAAAGTTTTATAAGAAATACAAACAATTTTTCCCCACCACCCTTCCCCTTCCCCACATAAATTATACGTTTTCTTATACATAAGAAATCCTCCATATACATGTTTCCCTTAAAGAAAGCATTAAAATAAAACATTTTAATTATATTCGGAGTTGCTCTTCTCCTTCTTCCCTCATTCCACAACAAACCTTCTTCTCCTCCTCCTTTCTTTCCCATCCCTCCCTCTTCCCTCCTACCTCTTCTCCCACCTCATCCTACTTCCTTTCCCTTTCCCCCACTTCTCTCTTCTTTTCCCCCTTCTCGCCTTCACTCCTACTCCTGTCCCCTTCCCTTCCCTTCCTCCTCTCCTTTCTTCCATTCCTCTCCCTCCCTCTCCTCTTCCTACCCCCTCCTCCTCTCTCCTTTCTAACTTCTTTGCTGTGAAATATTTTCCTCCTTTAGTATCTGAGCAACTCCTATATTCTAGAATACACTTTCTTCTGCTAAAACATTCATCACTTTCCCCCCCTCCCTTATCCCCCCCTCCCCACCCCACCCCTGACTTCCCAGAGCAAAAACAGGGTATAGCATCTAACAAACATATGCTAAAATAAACTAACAAATTATAAAGTTCAAAGCTCCCACATGTTCTTTAACTCCCTTTGCTCCAATTCAACAACCTCCCTTTTATAAATTCTCAATACCAATTAAATTAAATTCATTCTTCCTACTTATATAGAAAAAAAAGAAAAAAAAACTTTTTCTTAATGCATAATCCAATACTTTAGCAGTCTTACAAACAATAAAAATCATGAATAAATTTCATTTCTATACCAGAAAAAAAAAATTCATCTTAGAATCTTGCACATTTTATCTCATATATCTTTTAAAATAATATAGTCTAATGTTAAGCATTTTAAAAATCTCTTAATACCTTTAAAACACTTATTTACCAAATATAAATTTCAGAATCTATAGGAGGGTATCTTTCAATTTTTCAATTAACCGTCTTAATACCTCTAACTTTTTTAAAAGAACAACCCTTAACTATCCAAAACTAATTATCAGTTTACAATAAAATTCTGAGTTTAACATTAATCCTCTTCGTTTCAAAGGGTTAAACATCCTAAAAGCTTATACAATTTATCTCATATATCTTGTAAAATAATATAACCTTATGTTAAACATTTTAAAAATCTTTTAATACCATTAAAACACATATTTGCCCATTGCCAATTTCAAAATCCACAGGAGAATATCTTTCTTAATCTTCTGTTCTTCACTTCTTTTTGTATTTTTTCCAATCCTTTTTTCTTTATAAATTCTTTCAACAATCCCCCCAGTTTTATTTTGGAAGCTTTTAAAATAGTGATTTGAGGTTGATGTTTCTGAAATACTCGCTCTCTTCTTGAAGTCAGCTTTTCTAACTTAAAATCCTCATCTCGTCTCTTCTGGTTTGTATAATCATTCAATCCATTTCTTTGTCCATATAGCCAAAATTTGTTGCCATAAAGATTGTCAGCTTGCAATAAAGAAACCATTTGTTGCTTTTCTGTCATTGGAATGGAAACGTCCACCAAAACCTTTGTTTCAGCTGTACCAGTCAATCTCTTAATCCTGTCCATTTCCTGATCTTCCAAAAACAAATTCTTCTGAATAATTTCCTGCTTATAATTTCCCAAGCTATTTTTTGAAAAAGCCCTTTCGATTGTATTCAGCAGGGCTGAGGTAAAAAAGTCTAGAAGTTCTTGAAAAGCCTGGACAGTCACGGCTTGGGAATTTGCTGATTCACCAGCCCTGTTGTCAGCCATATTTCAGCTACTTTGTATTTATCCAGCTATCAGGAGAACAATTCAACTTTTTTCCACACAGTATAAAGACCAGATTTTAGTTAAAGTCAGTACCAAATTCTTTTCCTCAATACCAAATTCTTTTCCTGGCCGCTTCCATTTAAAACTTTCTCTTAGAGTGTAATCCAGTAGCTGTAAAGTGTTAACAAGCCATTAATGAGCACTTCCCCTGGTAGTTTCTTCCTCCCGCCCTCAGGCGCCATTTTCTGCATATTAAAGCGGAGTTAAAGTGTTACTTGCAAATTTCCTTTTGTTTTCTCCTGATTTGCTCCGTCTGCGATCGAAGTAAAGATGTTAAAAATCCCCCCTGTTGATTTTTCTGCAGATTCTGGTCGCAGCTTCTAGCTCCGCTTCAGCGGAGTCGTTTCTGGTCCGGAGTGGCTTGACAGGCTTCAATAGGGAGCCCACACCCTTTGCGCCCCAGGATTTCTCCTAGCGCACTTGGGGGGGGGGCTCTACCCCCGCCTGTCGACTCTTCTCTCTCCTCTTTGCCCGGGGAGAGGGTTCCAAGCCTCCAGACAGCAGTTTTTCGGCTGTTCTGGGGCTTTTACAGAACCAGAAAACGGGCGCTCAAAAAGGAGCGTCTTCAAAGCTGCGGAGCCAGGCAGGAAGTCTCAGTTATTTGAATAACCTTGTTGGGCATAACTTATTGTAGTAAGATAACTTTGAAATTAGACAATTATATGTACAAATATAAAGGAACTAATTAAGTTTAATTGCACACTTGCCTTGCTTTTTGTTTGAATAACACAAGAATAAAAGAACTATTGGAAAACTTTACTTTTTACCAAGGAGCCTTGGTGGCACAGCACACTAAAGTGCTGTTAAGTAGCACTTAACTGCCAGCTGCCTGCAATTACTGCAAGTTCAAATCTCACCAGGCTCAAGGTTGACTCAGCCTTCCATCCTTCCGAGGTAGATAAAATGAGGACCCGGATTGTTGGAGCAATAAGCTGACTTTGTACAAAAAGAACACCGCTTAAGGGGGGGGCGAAAGCCCTACTAAGCAGGTATATACAAAAGTATGAAGGCTATTGCTTAACGCATTGTAAGCCGCCCTGAGTCTTCAGAGAAGGGTGGCATATAAATGAAACCAATAAATAAATAAATAAATACATACATACATACATACATACATACATACATACATACATATATACATACATACATACATACTTTGAGTGGCTTGAACTCAATTTTATGACAATTTTAAAGAAATAAAAAAAAAAACCCTACCTACTTCCTTGCTGGAAGTTCATAGAGTATAGGAAGTAGAGGTTTGGTCATTTGAAGCTCATCTGTATACTTCTCTTTTAGATTGCTCTGCCTGTAATTATGTATACCTCAAAATAATGTGCAACATGTTATAAAAGTGAAGGTGAATATTTATTAAACAAGACTTTCTTCTATTTTACTTTCTTGTTTTAGATGGCGATTGCTACTGATATTGGGCTGCAGTATAAAGGAGAAATAATTGTTGCTTTACGGTACACCCCACCTGAGAGGAACCTAACACTTCCTCTGGGAGAGATTCAAGGTAAAAAAAATATCCTGTTGATGCATCCAGCAATGTTTCTCTTGAATTGTTTTAATTCATGATCTTCTGCAGGCATTAGGAACAAAAATCCAGTGCTGCAAAATATTGCATTTGTTGCTGTTCAAATTGGTTTACTACTTTCTAAAAGAATTTGAAACTACAAATCATTTCATCTTTCTATATTACTCATCTTCAACACAATATCTTTTGGAAGCAAGGGCAGGATTTGCTAGCTGTAAATTCATTAGCTGCCTATTAAACAGCATTTTCTTATAATGTCATCCTGTTGACTTGAGATTTTCACTGTATGCAAAATGCTGCAAAAGCCTGCCAATTATTTCTATTCAAAATTCCCATGTGTCTGCATATCTTAAGGTGACCAAGTTTTGGTGTGATTGACTGATTCCTGAGAACAACTGATAAGTGGATCAGCTATGCCCATCCAAATTCAGCAGAGGCTTGAGAAACAGTGAGAAGGTTTCTGAGATTTATAGGCAATCTACTTTTCAGACATGATGTTGGGATATGTTAGAGATTTGGGGATGTGTTGACCAATTTTTAGATAAACATTCTGTGAGATAGGATTTATTGTGTATCTTTTTTGATTTTTATTATTTTTATGACATCCATCCATAGTTAAAATATAATAAACAGAATGTTGTAGAATCAGAAAAGCATCACTTTCCTGACCAAAAATTGTAACTCAAGTTTAATAGGTCCAACTATTAATAACTCTAATTGCCATTGTGACCAGGAGGCCATTATCCTTCTCCTAGGTAACTACTCTTCAAAAACCTCTAAGAAGGTTGCAAAACTTCATCAATAGCCATAGCTGTTAGAAACTGCTTCATGCTATTCCTCCTTCATGCTATTAACTATAAGCTCACTAATTGTTTTATGATTTGCAGTATTTGCAATTTAAAATTTTCCTTTTATAGTTATTAGATTATATACTGATCTTTTATTGTGATTGGTCTTGGGCCATAAATATATGTTGAAGTTGCATCTGGTTTGGAGCATAAATCCACTCTAGAAACTCACGCAAGAACAAAATAGTGCTCATGTTAGGCAGTGGTGGGATTCAAATAATTTAACAACCGGTTCTCTGCCCTAATGATTTCTTCCAACAACCAGTTCACCAAACTGCTCAGAAAGTTAACAACCAGTTCTCCCGAAGTGGTGCGAACTGGCTGAATCCCACCACTGATGTTAGGTCATATAACCCTCAAGACCTCAAGATCCAGGCTTTTGTGTGGTCTGTGCAGAGATTTCAAACAATTCCTTTTCATGGTTTCTGTCCATATTAGAAATTACAGAAGCTATTTTTTTTCTTCAAATCATTTGTTTTCACTTAAATTTCATTGTATTGGCCTTGGGTATGTTAAGTGTGTTCCGTTGTCAGCTGAGACATTAATGAGGTGAGGTAGCATGAACAAGAACGGTTTATTTATCACAACAGCAACTATAGGAACGGAACAGAGAGCTTTCTGGAACTGACAGCTCTTTTATACTCAGAGCTGTCCAACGTGCTTAACCAATAGGAGCTCAGACAATCTCCCGCTCGCATTAGCCACTCCCCTCTAGCCAATCCACCGGCAGCGTCCCTGTTGCCAGGGCCTCCACGAATCACAACACTCCTTCATCCCCGGCTATAACATACATAGTCCTTTAGATATTCTGGGCGTTTGCGCACTCGGGTCGAACGTCTTAGCGCAGGTGCCGGTACGATGTCGGCTGGGTCTGCTTCCGGGGATGATGCTGTTGGTAGCTCCTCCTGCTCGTTGGTGGGTGTGGCGACAACCGGTAAGTCCCATTTTGACACTTGAGTTTCCGGTGTGGGCGGTGGCAGATTTGCTGCGGGAACAGGCAGGAGCCATCCGAAAGGCCTCCTTGTCCAGAATGTTTGGGGACGTTGTCAGTCGCTTCCTTAGTTGGTCCACGTGTCTACGCCACAGTCGGCCGTCATTCAAAAGTACCCTGTAAGAGCAGGGGCCAGTTACAGCACTCACAAGTCCTGGTAGCCAACGAGGTTCCCCCCCCAAAATTGCATGCAAAAACCGTATCCCCTTCTACGAACTCCCTGGCTTTCCTTTCAAAACTCTGGGGACCCTCTGGGGTATAAGTGGGGTGTAGACGGTCTAAGACTGTTCGCAACCGTTGTCCCATCAACATTTCGGGGGGACTTCTGTGAGTAGTCGGGCAAGGGGTCATGTGCTGGGCGGTTAGGTAGACGGCCACTTTCTCTTGCCAGTTCGCTGGCGATAGCCGGGCGAGAGCCTCTTTGGCAGATCGCACGGCTCGTTCAACCAACCCATTTCCCGCCGGATGGTACGGGGCAACCTGGGCGTGGCGAATTCCCAAACTGGCAAGGAAGCACTGGAATGTGGCGGACGTAAACTGTGGCCCATTATCTGTCACCACGACGTCTGGAACGCCATGGGTAGCAAATAGGTGGCGCAACACCAGGATGGTCCACCAGGTTGTGGAACCCATTAGTTCCAACTCGACCCATTTGGACAGGGCATCTATCACTATCAAGAAGGTCCGGCCCATGAATGGGCCGGCGAAATCTAGGTGAATCCTAGACCAGGGCCCCCTAGGGGTTTCCCATTCCCGGGGAGTGGCGGAAGGTGGCGCTGACCTCAACCCCTGACAGGACATTTAGCCACCCATTCAGAGACATCCCTGTCCAATGCAGGCCACCACACATAACTATGGCTCAACTCCTTCATCCGAACGATGCCGGGGTGGCCCGCGTGCAAATATTCTAGTACCTTAACCCGTAGATCGGGGGGAACCACCACCCGATGCCCCCACAAGAGACACCCTAATTGCACGGATAGCTTGTGCTGCCGGGCCCGGTATGGGTCAAATTGACTGGGCACCCGCCCTAACGGCCACCCCTTTCCCACCCAGTCAAGGACCTGGGACAGGACCCTATCATGGCGGGAGTGGGCAGCGATGTCGGTTGCGGTCACTGGCAAAGCGACCTCGTCTACCAGATGTACAGGAAGGGCAGGTGCAGGATCTAACACTGACGCCGGCAAGGGGCAGCGACTCAGGGCATCCACATGGGGAATTAGTTTCCCCGGGCGGTAAATTAAAGAGTAATTATATGCGGCCAGGAAAACAGCCCACCGGGCCATACGGGGGGATAGAACATGAGGCGTTTGGCGATGACCTGCAAGAAGCCCCAGTAGGGGCTTATGGTCTGTTACTAGCTCAAATGGCCTACCATACAGGTAATCGTGAAATCTTTTAACAGAGGCCACAATGGCTAAAGCCTCCCAGTCAAGCTGGCTATACCGACGTTTTGCGGAAGTCATGGTCCTGGAATAAAACGCAATGGGCGCCTCAACCCCGTTGGGAAAACGATGGCTCAACACAGCCCCAATTCCGTAGGGGGAGGCATCCGCTGTTAGCGTGAGCGGTAGAGTTGAGCTATATTGCACCAAAACCGCAGAGGAGGAAAGCAAGTCTTTCACATTCAGAAAGCCACGGTCGTGTTCGTGGTTCCAGGACCATGGGGTGTCTTTTGCTAGTAACCTATGAAGAGGTTCGGCCAGGGAGGCCTTGTGGGGCAGGAACACATTATAAAAGTTTAATAGCCCCAGGAAGGACTGCAGTTCCACGCGGCAAGTGGGCGTGGCAGCGTGTTTAATTGCTGCCACTTTGGAAGGGGTGGGATGGATCCCCCTAGCATCAAGCAGATATCCCAGAAACTCAATTTTGGAAACCCCAATGACACATTTGGACCTTTTCAGGAGCGAAAACGGTGAAGGACAGCCCTAACTCTTTCGATGAGCTCACCCCGACAAGAAGCGGAGATGAGCACATCGTCAAAGTAGGGCACTACTCCCAGCAGGCCATGGAGCAGCCGCTCCATGAGGTTTTGGAAAAGGCCAGGGGCAACGCTAATCCCAAACTGCAGGCGCCGGCACTTAACACACCCCGGTGGGTGACGATGGTTTGAGCCTCGGCCGAGGCGTCATCCACCGGAAGCTACTGATACGCCTGGGCCAAATCTAATTTAGCAAAAATGGCCCCAGGCCCCAGGGAGTGCAGCAGGTGTTGGACTACAGGGACAGGGTAGGGATTTGCCTGCAAGGCCCTATTTAAAGTACATTTAAAATCTCCGCAGATTCTCACAGAGCCGTCAGGTTTTATGGGGACCACTATGGGTGTCTCCCACTTGGAGTGGTCAGTTGGTTCCAGGACCCCTTGGGCAATTAGCTTGTCTAATTCTGCGTCTACCTTGGGCCTGAGTGCAAGAGGGACTCTGCGTGGCTTAAGCCATATTGGTGCTACATTAGGATCTAGGTTCAAGGAAATGGGAGACCCCACGTATTTTCCTAAAGTGCCTGCGAACACATCGGCAAATTCAGTGAAAAGGCCATCTACCCCAGATACCGACGTGGAGTGTATCCCAGATATTTTTAACCCTAACACCCTGAACCAATCCATGCCTAACAGACTAAGCAGGACCCCTTTGACCACAATTAAAGGAAGAAGCCCCACAAAACCCTCTGATTCAACCAGGAAACGTCCCTGTCCCAGGATCGGGATAAAATTTCCCTGATAGTCCCGCAGTTTAATTGGGCACTGCTGTAGCTGTCTCTTTGTAATAGTGGGGATCAGTTGTTTCAAGACCCCCCAGGACACTATGGATTTAGCAGAACCCGTGTCCAACTCCATCTGACAGGAGGCGCCTTCTATTTTTACTGTCATCAAGAGTTTAGTGCCATTTGTTTTAAATGGGCGTACGGTCACCTCAGCAACACTGCGTTCGTGGACAATGGAGAAACAGTTCTCCTTGCCGGGGTGGCGAGGCTTTGGAACAGTAGGCGCCTTAGCCATCGAACGGCAGACTCTAGCAATATGCCCTTGTTTGCTGCAACGGTGGCAAACGGCCGACCGGAAACGACATGTCGCTCTGGGGTGGTCTTCCCCACAGCTGAGGCAGCTGGCGGGAGGTCCCGACTTCACTCTTGAAGCACTCCGCCGGGGTTTGGATGCCAGTAGGCGGCTGACGTCCATCTCCTCCTCATCAGTGGAGTTGTCTGAGGCAATGTCCTGCAGGTTCACTGAGGCAGCTGCCTGGGCTGACGGAGGAAAAGATTTCCTGATATCCGCGGTGGATTTCTCCGACATTTCCGCTGCCTGGGCTTCTTCGAGAGCGGTCTGCAGGTCCAGATCATTTTTGGCCAACAGCCGCCTCTGAAGCTGGATATCCCTGACCCTGCACACCAGCTGCTCCACTAGTGCATCGTCTAAATCTCTGTATTCGCAATCTAGAGCAGCCATTCTCAAACGAGCCATGTAATGATTTATCGACTCCCCCTCTTCCTGTACTACTTGCCGCAGCTTGAAACGGCGGGCTATTTTAGAAGGGGCTGGGGAGTAATGGCTCTTCAACTTTTCACGTAACAAGTCCCATGGGGCCGTGTGCACCGGGGCGGCCGCGAACAATGCTTGGGCGGTCGCGAACACCTCAGGGCTGCAGGAATTCAAGAAGTGTTCCCTTTTCTTGCTGCTGGAGAGATCAGTGAAATCATTTGCCTCAAGAAAACATTCAAATCTCTCCATGTAGGCATCCCACGACTCTGTGAGCGCATCATAAGGGGCAAATGTTGGCGGTGCCATTTCTGCCTACCTCTAATGTCTCAGCAGGTGTTACCACGGCAATCCCATCCTCGTCGCCAGTGTTCCGTTGTCAGCTGAGACATTAATGAGGCGAGGCAGCATGAACAAGAACGGTTTATTTATCACAACAGCAACTATAGGAACGGAACAGAGAGCTTTCTGGAACTGACAGCTCTTTTATACTCAGAGCTGTCCAACGTGCTTAACCAATAGGAGCTCAGACAATCTCCCGCTCGCATTAGCCACTCCCCTCTAGCAATCCACCGGCAGCATCCCTGTTGCCAGGGCCTCCACGAATCACAACAAAGTGAACATATTTTTTAATGAGCATATGTGTCAGAGGTGGGTTTCAGCAGGTTCTGACCAGTTCTGGAGAACCGGTAGCGGAAATTTTGAGTGGTTCAGAGAACTGGTAGTAAACATTCTGACTGGCTTCACCCCCATCTATTCTCTGCCTCCCAAGTCCCAGCTGATCGGGAGGAAATGGGGATTTTTCAGTAACCTTCCCCTGGATTGGGGTGGGAATGGAGATTTTACAGTATCCTTCCCCCGCCACGCCCACCAAGCCATGCCATACCATGCCCACCAAGCCACACCCACAGAACCGGTAGTAAAAAAAAAATTGAAAACCACCACTGATATGTGTTTCTGAAAAAATTGCATTTTAAATTTTTTTTAAATTATTTGAAATCATTGAGGGACAAATAATGTAGATAAGGTTGCATAGTATAAAATGTTTCTTATATAGGACAGAGATATTTGTGGCTTAAGAGGCATGGTTTGATATGTATTGATTTTTAACCTTAGGATAGCATACAGTGCAAAATATGGAATCTTCATATATTCCTCCATTTTTGTTTTCCGTCTTTTAAAGGAAAGAAGAGTTCAAAGAAAGAAAAGAAGTCAACCGCACAAGTACCATCAGGAGGCATATTGGAAATTGTCATCAAGGAAGCCAAGAATTTAATGGCAGTGAAATCAGGAGGCACTTCAGATACGTTTGTGAAAGGGTGATTTCCTCCATTCTGTCTTTGGCTATGTATGCTAGTAGACATTTAATATTTCTGTATTGAATACAGGTAGTCCTTGCATTATGACCATTGGTTCAGTGACTGTTCAAAATTATAATACTAAATAAGGGGGGGGGAGTTTATGACAGGTCTTAAAGAGTTCTGGCTGTCATAGCATCTCTGCAGACATGTGACTATGATTTCTGATGTTCCCACAAGCAAAGACAATGGGAAAGCTGGCAGGGAATCATTTGAGGGCCTTGCTTAACAAGATTGCTGTTTAATGACAGCAACTGAGAATTGCTGTTGCTAAGTGAGCCAGTAATGTGATGTCACACTTTATGATCACATTGCTTAGCAATGGAATTCTCGGTTCCAATTGTCCTAGTAATCACTTATATGATCATCTATTTGTTTCTCAAAAATGTCCCGTTTGGTGGCAAGATTTAGAACTTTGCACCTTTACTTCCTTCTACCTTTGAATATTTTGAATGGAAAAATAATATTCATATATCAGGATATAGTATTGTATCTCTTAATCTCAGCTAACATAATATTGCATTTGCTGTCCTGGTCCAATTCATAATTCACCTCCTACTACATGCTAATATAATCTAAAAATAAATTTATATGACTATGTATTATTTATAAATCACAATATTGCTCCATGTCAGAATTTTGTTTTAAGAAAGTAAAAAATTTCCAAATAAAAAGGGCTCAATGAATCTTGGAGTGGCCAACTCTTATGATAAATCTTTTGTTATAATTTATTCCTTTGAGGGAATGACTATAGATTACACATAGCTGTTGAGTGATACATCAGTATCTTCTCAATTATAATTATTATGACATTCATAACAAACCTCTATATTCTTATTTTTTTCTCCTTCCTTTTCTCTCTTAGATACTTGCTTCCTGACAACAAATCTTCAAAGTATAAAACCCATGTAATAAAAAAGAGTGTGAATCCCTACTGGAATCATATGTTCAGTTTTAGTGGCTTGAACCCTAGAGATATGCACAATGTCTGTGTAGAACTCACTGTTTGGGACAAGGAGTCTCTCGCCAGCAACATTTTCCTGGGTGGTGTTCGCTTGAGTATTGGAAGTGGTAGGTGTGGATAGACCTACCCTTTGATAGAATGGAATTGAAAGGAAGTAACAAATGAAATATTTAGAATACTCTTTATATTTAGAAAAGGATATCAGTACTTGAGAGATCTGTTTAGCTCTTTTTCTTGCAGCCTTTGGCTCATAGTGAAAACTTTCCATATCTTCCAAAAAAGATAGTGTAAAACTGCGGGAAATGGAAATGCAGGGCTTTTGGGAATTTAAATGCACCCCTCCATGCATAAGGTACTGGATTGGGAGGGAGAAGACTTGGGTTTTAGACCCTGCTTGGTCATGGAGGTTGACTTTGGACCACTCACTTATTCTCAGCCCAGCTCTGCTATGGAGGAAAATAAGTGAAAGCTTACTATATATGCTGCCTTGAGCTTCTGAATGAAAGACAGCATAGAAATCTAATGATAAATATATCAATAAATCCCCACTCTTATCATTTCTTGAATGATATGAAAAAACAGATAGGAAAAATCAGTCTTTATTATTGCCCACTGGCCTTTTGCAGAGTTTTGGATTGCTGACCCAGAAAATGTTGTCTGTGTTTGAATTAAAAATATTTATGATAACCCATTCTGATGTTTGCCTAAAAGTAAAGCTAAAAAGAATAAATAATAGTAAAATAATAATAAAAGATGCAAATAAATCTGATTAGAATTCCCAATAAAAAGGACTGCTAAGTTCTTGTCCTATAATTAATACAAAAAAAGAAGATGGCCAGAGTCAAATGGGTTTTTAGATTTATTTTTCAAGGTATTTTATTCTCCATCCCACTACTCTTGTAAGAATTGTCTAGGAATTATTTTTAAGGGCAACAGCTTCCAGTTTGTAACATAGATATTAATAAGATATTAAGTCTTTCATATTTTGTTCCTTTTGTTCCAGTCTTAATTGCTCATTGCTCATTTTAAATGAAACTGTAAATTTGACACTGTACCAATGGTAGAAACCAGAGCTACAGATGACAGTTTGATAAGAGTTGCTGTAGTTCTTGTGAACCTGGAGTATCATGTGTTATGAACCATGGGTGAAATCCTACCAGTTCGCTCTGGTTCAGGCGAACTGGTAGTTAGCTACTGGTTCGGGCAAACCGGTAGTTTAAAAAAAGCTACTGGTTCCTCCAAACCGGTATTTCCAATGATCAGCTGTGCAGTGGTGGTTAGCTTTGCTAGAAAGCAGGAAATCCTGCTTTCTAGTGAAGCTAAATCACGCACCACAGCTGATCCCCCCCTCGCTTCTACTTCCCTTCCCAAGCCTCCTTTTGGTGTGTACTGCGCATGCACGAACATGCGCAGAACATGCATTTGGTGCGCACTGCACATGCACACACAGTGCGCATTTGCGGCCAGCGAACCGGTAGCAAACTGGTTTGGATTTCACCACTATTATGAACCTCTGATGTAAAAAAAAAAAAAAGATCAGCTGACCACCGTGTTTTGCAATTTTACAGGTATAAGCAATGGCAAAGAAGTTGACTGGATGGATTCTCAAGGAGAAGAGCGACTTCTTTGGCAAAGAATGATTGATTGTCCTGGAGATTCTGTAGAAGGTGTATTAATGCTGAGATCCAGCATGGGGAAACGCAGACTCTGAGGAGTATGGTTTGCATAAGGCTGATGCTACAGTAGTGTAATTTTAAATTGTAATAAGATGTAATGGAGACTGGTCTCCTGTCATGATTTGCACGTGTAAACATAAGGAAGTTTATTTTTACTCTGAATTTAAATTTTCTGAAATGGATTATGAATGCATTCAGCACTTTCCTAAATCCATGCTGTAGCTCTTGAGCCCAGGCAAAATCAGTAAAGTCATTTCCAAAACAAGATTTGCTGAGTTGTTAGAATGAGGCCATATAATACTCTCTACAGAATACGGCTTAAAGATTTTTCTTTATTATTTCAAAATGTTTTCTCAAAAAACAGTATCAGTGATTGATAAATGAATGAAAAGACACTGAAGCTAGTTCATTGTAATCCAATTTCAAATAAGTCTAATGAGCTTGGGAAGTGAGCACCAAGATTGGAGGCACGCTCTAGGAGTAATTATGTCCCTAGTTTTCCCACACTGATACCCACTGCCCTTAATTCTATTAGTTCCTAATAGGTTTTATAATAAAGAGTTAGAGAGTCTCAAGTTACCTGTTCATAAACAAAATGGCATGGGTTAGAGGCAGTGGTGGGATTCAAATAATTTAACAACTGGTTCTCTACCCTAATGACCGGCTGGGTGGCTGTGGCCATGGTGGGCATGGCCAGGAATGTGTGGCAGGCAGCACTCAGACTCCTGCACCCCCCTGGGAGCGAAAACGGGCCACGGGGGGGGGCTGCCTCCTCGTGCCCCATTTTGGACCTAGGTGGCCTCCCTGAAGCCTCCTGGGAATGGAAATGGGCCACGAGGGGGCACCGACCCCCTGTGCCCCGTTCTGGGCCTAGTAGGCCTCCCTGCGCTTAACCTGGGAGCCAAAATGGGGCACATGGGGATTCCTGGAAGGGGCAGGGCCAGAAGGGGCAAGGCCAACTAGCAATTTAACTACCGGTTCACTCGAACAGACTGTATCACACCACTGGATTCAGCCGGTTCGCACTGGTTCAGGAGAACGGTTTGTTAACTCTTTGTGGAGTTCTATGAAACAGCTGAATAGTCAAGGCTGCCTGCCTGCCTGTTGATTCCAGCAGCTCACACACACCTCAGATATTCCTGCTCGTTTGTAATTAACCAAAAGAAGGGAAAAGAAAAAGAAGAAATAGCCACATACCATATTTTTCAGACTCTAAGATACACCAGGGTATAAGATGCACCAAGATTTCGAAGAGGTAAGTAAGGGGGGAAAAGGGTTTTGGCCCTCCTTCAGTCCCTAGGAGCACTCTGCAGACCTCCTAATTCCTCTGCATGCCTCGTTTTTTGCTAAAACAGGCCCATTTTTTGCTTACTTTTGCAAAAAATGGGGCACGCAGAGGGTTTGGGAGGCATGCAGAGTGTTCCTGGGGGCTGGGGAGAACAAAAATGCCCCCATTTTTGCCCTCCCCAGCCCCCAGGAGCACTCTGCCGGCCTCCCAAACTCTCTGTGCACCATTTTTGCGAAAAACAGCCCCATTTTTCACAAAAATGGGACTTGTGGGGCTTTGGGAGGCCAAAAATGGCTGTATTCGGTGTATAAGACGCACCAACATTTCCACCCTCTTTTAGGAGGGAAAAAAGTGTGTCTTATACTCTGAAAAATATGGTAGCTGTTTCCTCAGCCGAAAAATGCTAGCCCCTTTAAAACTCAGGGAGGAAATAAAGTGAAAGAGAGGTTTTTTTCTTCTTTTTCTCTCTCCCTTCAGTTAATAGCTCCTGGCAGACAGCCAAGAACCATTTAACAGGAGAATACTTAGGTGCAATAACAAAACCGCAGGAATGCAGTCAGCACAGAAACAATAGAAAGTTACAGATCATACAGATTAACAGAGTTCGAAGGGACCTTGTAGGTCATCTAGTCCAACCCCCGCCAAAGCAGGAGACCCTATACCATTTTTGACAAATGGCCGTCCAATCTCTTCGTGAAAGCCTCCAGTGATGAAGCTCCCACAACTTCTGAAAGCAAGCTGTTCCATTGGTTGATTGTTCTCACTGTTCGAAAATTCCTCCTTATTTCTAGGTTGAATCTCTCCTTGTTCTTGACAGGATTAGGCCAGCGAAGGCATTTTAAAAGTGTTAATATAGAGCAGAAATTTCTTGTCAGAGTTCTTATGTCTTTTTAAATATATGTTCTAATTAACAGAATTGATTTTATTAATTTGGAATAGGATTGCAAAGTTGATAACCATTTGTCTGAAGTGGTGTAGGGATTCCTGCCTAAGCAGGGGGTTGGACTAGAAGACCTCCAAGGTCCCTTCCAACTCTGCTATTCTATTCTGTTCTGTTCTGTTTTGTTCTGTTCTATTCTATTCTATTCTATTCTATTCTATTCTATTCTATTCTATTCTATGCTATGCTACGCTACGCTACGCTACGCTATAAAGCTGACAAGCCTGGATTGGAGACCCAAGCGTGGTGATACAGGATGAACTCTGTTCCTTGCCCCAGCTCATGCCCCCCTAGCAGTTTGAAAGCATGCTAATGTAAATACAGATTAATAGGTACTACTTCGGGAAGGTAACAACATTCCGTGTGCCTTTGGCATATAGCCATGCTGTCCACATGATCACAGAAAATGTCTTTGGACAATGCTGACTCCCTTGGCCAAGAAAATGAGATGAGCAGTGTGCCCTAGAGTTGGACCCGCTGAACAGAGAAACCTTTACCTTTTTTTACCTGTACATTGTTATTAAGGTCTATGTCAGACTGAGACATGAGCAGATTTTCAAATATAGCTTTCACTCTAGTTACAATTTAAAAATAAAATCAAATCCTTATTGTGGTCATAAACCAGCATAAGGAGGATGGGGTTCAGTCAATTAAAAAGCACAAAAAATACATCAGAGTCTAATAATAATGAAAAGCTAAATGCTATAAAAATACATTAAAACAAAGTATATATAAAAAAACAAGAATATAAAAGAGGTAAAGCATTAGATGGGTGTAAGGGAACATAAAAGTTAGTATATGGAAAACTGTATCAAATGACAGAACATTTCAGTATGTCATAAATCTATCATTAAGTCTAGTGTGTAGCACAGGTCCTAGCAACCTTGTATATTGCAGCAGGGTTGGTATCTGAAAGCAATAGAGCGGTGTAGAACTTTGTGCCCTGAGTATTTATCTAGTAATGGTGAGATGAGTACAAATATCTCTGCAGTGAATACAGGCATTAAAGATACACATGCTTTGTTGCTTCTGTGTGTCCAGAGTCATAGAGGCATTGTCTCTCCAGGCAGGGAATCTTCTATTGATTTTTATTTGGAATTTTTTTTTATTATCGTGCACTTACACACAAAAAATCTTGCCACTACTATCGTGATTATCTTGAGAAAGTATGCTGCCTCAAGTATTCAGGTGGCACTTCATTATACCTTTACTGTCTTAGTTTTACAGAAGATTAAGCAATCAACAAAGTTTCATGATCTATTTGGTTCTTTTTACAAAAGGACTCCCCCCTCCCAGCTTCTAAGAATTTCTACAGTTCAGTCAGTGATACAAGATTATGTATAATAATGTTTTTGAAATAAACAGATATTGGGAAGACTATTTATTTAAAACTTCCATGGCTAAATGGATGGCATCAAGAATGAATTATACCATACCATACCATACCATACCATACCATACCATACCATACCATACCATACCATACCATACCAATTATACTATATTGTACTATAATTCATAGGGAAATCAATGGATCTTAAATAAAAAACTATCCTTAACACATGTGAGAGCCAATTTAGTCTGCTGGGTAAGGCATCAAGTCAGAAATCAGGAAACTGTGGGTCCTGCCTTAGGCTAGAAAGCCAGCTGGGTGATTTTGGGCCAATCACTGTCTCATAGCCCATGATGTCAGGTTTGGGGGACAAGCCAGTCAGTCAATACCTGACCTAACCACTACATAAAATGGTTGATTCTCCACAAAAAATGCTAGGAAGAAAAAAATATGGTTAACATATAAATTACCAATAATCTGTTTTTGGCTTAATATTATTTGTAAACTTGGCTTGATTAAGTCATAATTTAGATCCAACTCATATTTCAATAATCTAAAACTGTAAATCTCCTGAGTCATATTTTTTTAGCATGGAATTGCATTGGTATATATTTGAACTTTACTGTTTTTTTCCATGAAATGTCTTGATGCTTTATGAAACTACTGTGAAACACCAGCTGCTACCCAAAAAGCTGGCTGAGTGACCGAACATAGATTTACATTAGCACCAAACTACAGAGAAAAAAAAATGTTTTTATTTCACAAATTTTGTTGTATTTTAAACAAATATATGAAACAATAAAACTGATTTTTTACATTTTTTTTCAAAATACATTTGGGAGGTGTAGGCAGGGCAGTGACCCTACATGATTGGGGGAGGGGCACCCCCACCCAGGAAATGTGTGTTTGTGTGTGTGAAGGCACCAAAGGACTCCCCAATCAGCCAACTCAGAGACCCCCAGGTCCTCGCGAACTGTAGGGTTGCGCCTCCACTTTGTTCATCCATTGCAGCCTCCATCTCCAGGTAGGCTCGGGGGGGGAAGTCCACACTCTCCTCCGGGGCTGCCATGAACCCCCTCTTGAGCTGTGCCCTCCTAAAAGACTGAACAGCAGATGAAGTCAAGGGAGATTTTGCCCAAAGACTAATGATGCGGCAGAAGGGAGAATTCTCATTGGTCCTCATTCCTGGCTACTCTCGATGGCGCAGGCGCAGAGAAAGGGAACAAGCAAGCCTCCCTGCTCCTGTTCCCCTCCCCTCAGGTGATGTCATGGTGTGAAGCGACTCTAGTAAACTCGGGCAAGCGGCCAGGCTGCAAGATGAGCCGCCCAGAGAAGAGAGGCTGGGAGGGAGGGGTGAGGCTTCAGTTGGTTTGCCGAACTGAGCAAACAGCCTGGTCAGCTTCAGCACAGCCTGATTTAGCACAAGCAGCTGATTGGCGGTTGGATTGGCCTCCCGGAATATTGCCTATCAGCTGTTCCAGGCTGCAGTGATCACCACCACCCATCGCCGCCGTCACTGTCCATTGCTGCTGCCGCCTATTGCTGCCTCTGCACACCCCATTTTTAGCCTCCGCATGTCCTGTTTTTGGCCTGTTCCAGGCAGCAGGGATTGCTACCGCCACCTCCTATCCCTGCCACCTGGAATGGGCCAAAAACAGGACACGCGGAGGCCAAAAATGGGGTGCACGGAGGCAGCGATAGGTGGCAGCAGTGATGGGCGGTGACGGCGGTGATGGGCGGTGGCAATCCCTGCAGCCTGGGAGAGCTGATAGGCAGTATTCCAGGAGGCCGATCCAACTGCCAACCAGCTGCTTGTCCTAAATCAGGCTGTGCTGAAGCTGACCAGGCTGTTTGCTGTTTGCTGCAAGGAGGTAAATTGCTGGGAGGCAGAGGTTGAAGTGTGGGCAGGGCTTCAGCAACATTTGCTGTATAAGATGCACAGACATTTCCACCCACTTTTGGGGGGAGGGGAAATGCATCTTATACACTGAAAAATATGGTAAATCAGGGACTGTTTATTTTTCATACACAATTTTTAAAGAAATTCATTAGTATAATTCAGTTGTAGCAATAAATTACACACACTGCATGTTTTACCTATTATCCTGCAGAATTCTATTCTGCTAGCATTCATCAAATGGTATTGGTGATGTAGAAGAAAGCTTTTGTTTTTTTACCAACAAAATATTTTGTTTAGTTTGTGTTAAAACAGTTAGATGTTTTTTCTATTTTATTCATTTCTATTCTATTTGGGTGGTTTAGGGGTGGGGAATTTGTGGTGGGTGGGGGTGTGTTTGGGGATTGTTATGTGTGTTGGACCTGGTCTTTGGATCTTAAGTGAATTTCGTTGTATGGGTATACTGTGTATACAGGTACAATGATAATAAAGTTGTTATTGTTGTTATTGTTATTATTATTGTTATTATTATTATTATTATTGTTGTTGTTGTTGTTGTTGTTGTTGTTATTATTATTATTATTATTATTATTATTATTATTATTATTATTATGTCATTTGGAAATATTTATGTTGGGTATGAACAGTGTATATAAATAATCTTTAAATTATGTTTCATGAAACACCAATATTCCCTGAATAGCTTGGATGTATTCAATGAAGCTGAAATCTTTTTGATGGAAGTTCTCAGATAATAAGCATTAAATCAAAATTAGGAATCCTATTACTGATTGCATCAACATGTTTTCATGAAAGTGAATTTTCAGCACTTACTACATCCACAAATAAATATCAAAACAGACAGAATCTTCTCTTAACTCATAAGCTTCATTTATAACTCTGCCATTATCCACAAGCTCCTGAATCTCATTAAATTTTAAGATGTATAAAAGATAAGGGATAGTAAATATATTTTCACAATATTATTTTTCTTTATATAAAGCAATAGTCATAGATTCCATATTAAGATAAATTGCTTCATGTTTTGCAGTTTTGAAGAAATCCTATGAAAAATAGCTAAATAATATATACTTTTTAAATACACACTAAACAGTCTTTTACCCATCTATGTTTGTTTTATATTGTATTTCTTTTATTTATACACTGAGATACATGAATTATGGAAAGTTGAGTTGTTGTTCTGTGTAGCTATAGTAAAGTCATGTTTTGTGTGCAATTAAAAATTCATGTATATTTTAATTCATGGTCAAGATACTTTAACTGAAAAAATTCTGATAGCTAAGACACATCTTAATAACCAAAACTAAAAAGGCATTTTTAATGTGTTCCACAAAATGGTATTGTGTTTAGGAGTAAGTCCACTCTATCTTCTCTATATGAATCATTACTCTTAATAACCCTAATTATAGAGTATTTAGCCAAGCACCTCATTTCTTACAAAGAAGACTCATACAAGTAGGCCTAAAAGTATCTAATATTCTTAGCCATATCATCTTCAAATATTCTATAGTTTTAATTGCTTCACCCAGATTAGAATATTAAAATTTTAGGTCTATTCTTTAGTAATGTTTTGATGAATTAAGTACTGTAGATGCACCTCAATTTGATGGAGATTTACTAATACACAGATGCATCTCAATTTACTAATTCACAAGTAGGCAATTAGCATTCCACTAATCAGATCTGAACATTATAATTATGCATATTGCCAATCTCATTACACATTAATTTTAAAAGTCTTAAAAATACATACAATTCACTGGAACTAAAATGCCAAAATGGAGAAGGTACAGGTTTTGTTTTCACATTTTTCATTTCTTAAAAAGCTATTTGATTACAGTGCTGTATAACTGGGAATGAAAGTCTCTCTCTAAAAAGGAAGACAAATTATCTGTATCAGTGGTTAAGAATTTATAAATCTCTCACTTCAGTGAATATTTTAATTCTTCAATAAAAGGCTCAAAAGTTTTCCGGAAAGCTGTTTTTTAATATTATCATTTAATGTTAAAACTGCAATAAAATTGCAAGATGCAGTAGTTAATGGAAACAAAACTGAGTGTTGGTTTGTCATTAGACATTATTAGATTATCTAGATTTGATCCAGTAAACTAGATTAAAAAATTTGGGCCATTCAAGTTTAAGTGTAATTATAAATCAATCTGCATCCATTTGATCTGCGTGGTTGAAAGAAGCAACTGTAATTTTTCCTGCATACAAATCAGTGTTCCATTTTCTTATCAGTGAATCCATTTTTTGAAAACTGACTTGCAAGTGTATGCTATAATATAACTTTCAAATTACTTGCCAGAAAAGTTTTACACGAAACATTGACCTTTATATTAAAGCTCCAATTTTATTTGAATTATCACACTAAAACCTGGGCTGTGTCTATGTTGAACAGGTACTCTTCCTGACCACTATTGGGACCAGAATGTCAGTTGTTGAGCAAAGCGGTCATTAAGTGAGAGGCCCTGCGATGGCTTTGCTCAATGACTGCAGTGCTGGCACTCCCAGTTGTGAGAGTTAAATAATCTCATGGGTTATTAAGTAGCGTTCCAGCTAAGAAATGCAGTGGTGCCTCAGTGGGGAACCACTCAGTGGGGAAGATCCTGGGAGACATCTCTCTCTCTCTCTCTCTCTCTCTCTCTGTGTGTGTGTGTGTGTGTGTGTGTGTGTGAGTCCTGCAGCAAAGCTGCAGCTGCCTCTGGAAATCTCAGTCACCCATTCAGCTCACCAGTGCCCGCAAAGCTCCCATAGCCCAGGAAGTCTCAGCCACCAACCTTGCCAACAGAGCTTACGACTTAAGGGGCATTACAATTCTCCCTATTTGCCTATCTCTCCAACCCTGATCTATGCTGCCTCAAGCCCCACAAGTCATCCAAAAAGAGGACCTGACCTGGGGCACTCACATTGCAGCACTGGTCAAAAGGGCCCAGCAGAGATTATACTACCTGAGACTTCTCAGGAAACAACTGAATGAAAAACTGCTGATGACCTTCTACTGCTGCACCATAGAGAGTATTTTAACTTACTGCAACCTGTGTATGGTTTGCCAATTTCACAGTGGCAGATAGGACAGCGCTCCAGAGGATTAACATCATTGCCCAGAGCAGGGGTCGGCAACCTTAAACACTCAAAAGAGCCAGAAAGGTCCTAAACGGAAGTTCCCCGTTCAATTCTGGAGCCGACCGGAAGTCCAGTTTCCCCATCATAGTGTCTCCTTCTAGTGCAGCATCCTTTTACCTCTGCTGACCAGAAGTCTGGTTCTCCCACCATAGTGTCTCCTCCTAGCGCAGCATCCTTTTTCCTCTACCTGTCCTAACCCAACGTCCTATCAATTGTGGCACTGACCGATGACAGGGAGTTGCAGCAGAGGGATGAAAGAGCCACATGTGGCTCCAGAGCCGCAGGTTGCTGACCCCTGGCCCAGAGGATCATTGGTTGCCCTCTCCCCACTTTGGAAGAGCTTTATAGCTCCCGCTGCCTTAAGAAAATTCAAAGCATTCTTAAAGATCCATCTCATCCTGGGCACCTGTGTTTTGAACTATTACCATCTGGCAGACGATACAGGATAATAAAAACAAGGACAACTAGGCTGAAAAACAGCTTCTATCTCAGGGCAGTAACTATATTGAATTCTACTGTATAGTGCAATATTAATGCAATATTGGTTTTTCAATTCAATTGTATAGAATGTGAAGGATATGTGTTTGTGTTTTATTTTTATAGTTAATAATGTACACTGAAGATGGCATTTAATTTCATTGTACAAGGTGCAATGACAATAAAGTAAACTAAATTAAAGTCCCACACTGCATCTTGACATGCTAGCACCATTCTGCCAAGCCCCAGCTGTCCTATGTTGCACAGGATCTGCTGCACCCCGCTTCACCATTTTGCTTACATATGTGAGGTAGATGCTGGCCATACCAGGCCTGCTTACCAAGGCTGCCTTGCACCATTCTCCAAGCAGACACCATTCTCATGATTCTTTGGAAACATCCTTCTCCAAATCCCACAATTAGAAGAATGAGGCTTCCAAACAATCATGAGAGTGGAGCCTGCTCTTGTGATGCTTTTTTTATTCATCAAATATGTTTGCCGCTTATCTAGCTGCAAGGTGACTTTGGGCAGTTTTGGAAGCCTCATTCTCCAAACGGTGCAAGGCAGTCTTGGGGAACAGTGGAAGGCAGCCTTGATAAGAAGGCCTGGCATGACCATAGGTGTGCTGAAACGGCTGTAAGTTTAGGCACAAGTAGAAAGTCTCTTTGTTCAGTACCATTGTAATTATGAATGAATGAATGGTTCTGAGGACTGCCTGTATCCCAATGAGGTTTTATAGCCAGAAGAAGAGAACATTTTGTGGGCTGCCTAACAACGATGAATCCCTATTCAGTCATGTTTGGTTTGACTGAAATCAGTGAAAACTCCTTTAAACTTAGTCTGGAGCCTTTTTGCTGAATGAAAAACAAACAGCTTTGTAACATGGTGTTAATATAAATACTAAATCTGTAAAATGCAAAAATGTTTTATTAATAAAAGATCTGTGAAAGAAATGAAAACATTTACATGGGAACTAATATTCTGAAGGGTTAACCAAAGCAATTCAACATCATTACAAGAACCTTTCACAGCAGAAAATAAATCTTTGACAAGATAAAGAGGTATCATTTATAGGTTAAATGAAGAGTTTTGCAACATCCATAGCCTAAACACATACATACATACAAGAAAAAAGTTTTGTACAGCAGTGACTTTCATAATCTCACTCTTTGTGTACCACCAGAAAAAATTAGGCAGCGAAAATACTGAACATCTATTGTCTAAAATCAGGGACAAGACCGGCCAATTTCAGCTTGCAATTTCATCTCTTCTTTTCTCAAAGGGAAAGTGTCAATGAGCGCATAGAGCTCAGCAGGAGTTGCTGGAAAAGGATATCGTTCTTTGTCCACACCATGTTTATCAACTACTACCATATAAAAGTTATAGTGAGGGATACGAAGTAACAACCTGAGGGTATGAAAAGAAACAAGTTTGTTAACAACTTCCTTTCTCTTTAACGAAGAAATTACCTTGCACTCCTGATCACTGCTCCTGTTCATGTTCATGGTCATTCAAGGGCCTCTCAAGATCATCTGTTTCTAGACAAAAGTATCCCAAAGCAGCATATATCAGTCCCTGCCTGCAGCTTACAAACTAAACATGTAAGACAAGCAAAGAAAAGGGTAGGACAGGAAAAAAAGAACACTCCTTCATATCCACTCCCCTCCCTTTGCAATTCCTTTAGTTGCCCTTGGTTTCTCGCTGAAGCAGGAGGCCTCAATAGGTTATTATTCTCTTCTACCCAAAACAATCATCAACAGAGCTGACCATTATTTGGAAAAGAGTGACTAAAGAAGCTTCCTGAAGCTGCTTCTCCAGTCAATGTATGGGTGAAATTGATCTTCATTCCTATGTACAGTAATATTCTCTTTTACTTAGAGAATACAATAAATAGTCAACATCTGAAAAGGAAAATAATCCTCTTTCCAGATATAATTGTTAAACATCAAGCAAAGATAATCCAGTCCTCACACTACATTTTAACCACATGTAGTTTCTTGCTGTGGTCAAAACTTCCAACAGAGAGATACATTTAAAGCACTTAGTACTGCAATAAATACCTTGCATATCTAGTACATTCAAAATTCCAAAGAATATAGCAAAGTTCCATCTTGTTTTTAGACAGTAAGCATGCTCACTTTAGTCTTCCTTTACAAACATTTCATTGCATAGATACTCCATGCTTCTGGTACTCTAACTGGTATGCATTACTGGGATAGCTATATACTGCTATAACCAAAGGCCAGAGAACATTTTAAAAAACAAATCAGTGTTGCCCTTATGCTGAAATATAATTCTGTACTAATAAGTTGGAAAAGTGTTGATGTTTTACAATTTAAGGAAACTGTTTGCTTTTCATTAGAACTAAACCATAATGTAAGAATTTTCAAATTATGACCTTGAAATATGATATTTAAAAGAAATTCAATCAAGTGAACAATTTACAGCATTAAATATTGGGGGGGACGACTCCAAACTTAGACCATTTGTATTTCACACAGTTGCTTGACAATGCAGGGAAGAGAGATATATGCTTATGCACAGTTCAGCATGCAACCACAGTATCTGTGCAATGAACAAAATATTCATATTCTGTTCATTAATGAAGCAAAGAATATATTTTAAAGAACATGTTAATTTAAGTATAATATGGGGATCATTAAATTTATTTTATTTGTCAAATTTGAGTAAAACATTTAAACAAGATGTTCTATTTTGGAATTCTCTTGTATTAAAAAATCTCATTCTATAAAGTCCTGCTCTAAAAATCTAATCAAGACTTTTTTTTTAAAAAAAAATTGATTTATATGCTGCCCTTCTCCGGAGACTCAGGGCGGCTTACAATGTGCTAAGCAGTAGCATTAAAGACAAACAGCCAGAGGACATTTTTCCTTATAATTAGAGTCTATATAATTTACCTGAGTTGTACAGCCAAGGCAGGGGGCATCAGTCTTAATCCTATTCTTCCCAGTTGTGCTGGATAAACCCCAACCAATTCAATCACTGTAACATGCCGGAGATCTAAACCACATTGTGCTGGCTGTGTAAAATAGGAAGATAATCAATTGGTTTAATTATGAAAAGCATCTATACAATGTGTTTATGATAATCTTTAATGTGGGACTATTGTATTTGCAAAACTTTATATGACCAACCAATTGATGGCAATGATACCTTCTTATTTTTTTGGTGTCTGAGCTAAGAGTGGGAAGGTGCAACCATCCTTGTAGTCCTTGATATCCTAGTGATTTTTTTTTATTGCAAAAGTTTTACAATTACATTTTCACCCCTTTCCCCCCCCCTCAACCCACCCCAAACTTCCCAACCTCATGCTCCCTAACCCACCCTAACCCTCCCCTCCCCCTGGACTTCCCCACAATATACTCACATCAAAAAAAAAAAAACCCTTTTTATAAAGCTTGAACTCCTCCATCCCCCTTATAATTTCACTAAATTAAAATATTTCTGTCATAAACCCTTAACTTTATTTTTAAATAAAAGCTATTTGATACTTCCTAGTTTGATATTTGTTCTGCACATAATCTATTCACTTTTTCCATTCCCATTCATAAGTCTCTTGTGAACAATCTTTTAAATATGCTGAAATCTTCGCCATCTCTGCAAAACTGGCCATCTTCAAAGTCCATTCCTCGATAGTGGGCAAAGCTTCATTTTTCCAGTATTTACCTATCAATAATCTCGCTGCTGTTATCATGTACAATATCAACTTTGTTTCACCCAATGTAAAACCCTTAACTATACCCAGTAAGAACAATTGTGGAGAAAATTGAATTTTTTTCTTCAAAACATTCTGCATAACCCACCAAATTTTTATCCAAAAGGCTTTAACTTCCTTACAAGTCCACCAGATATGATAATATGTAGCATCTAAACAATCACATCTCCAACATTTTGGCTGAACATTAGGGTACATGCATGACAATTTCTTAGGATCTAAATGCCATCTATAAAACATTTTATAGAAATTTTCCCTCAAATTCTGTGACTGTGTAAATTTAACATTCTGAACCCAAATTTTTTCCCATGTTTCCAACATCACTGGTTCTTCAAAATTCTGTGCCCACTTAATCATACAATCTTTAACCAATTCAGTTTCTGAATCTCTTTCTAACAAGACATTGTAAAGCCTTTTAATATGCATTGGACCTTTCTCTTTTATATGTCTAACCAATTCTTCCTCGTGCAACATAATACCAGTTTTTTGGTCCTCTTTCCATCTCAGTTGAAGTTGATTATATTGTAACCAAGTTAAATTAATCCCTTCATCCAACAGTGTCTCTAATGTCTTCAACTGCCATTTGCCCACATCTGTAAAAAGAACCTCTTTGTATAAAAACCCCCTGAGTGACATTATAGTTGTATTCCAAATAATATGACCAAGATCCAGCCATAGCAGTATTTTATAATCCCATTTGAATCGGTGCTTCTTCCAAACTCTCATCAGGGAGTCTCTAAGTATATGACTTTTAAATACTTTATCCACTTTATTTTCATAAAATAAGTAAGCATGCCATCCAAATTCAAGATCAAAACTTTCTATATTCAATATTCCAGTCTTTTTCCTTCCAAACCAATCACTTGCTTGAGATAAAGCTGCTGCTTCATAATATAACTGTAGGTTTGGAAGTTTAAGACCTCCCCGTTCTGGAACATCTTGCATAATTTTTAATTTCACTCTCGGTTTTTTCTCGTTCCAAACAAACTTATTCACTCCACTTTGCCACTCTTTCAATTGTTTATCGCTTTTAAGCACCGGAATCATTTGAAACAAAAAAAGAAATCTTGGCAAAATATTCATCTTAACTGCTGCTATTCTTCCAAGTAGAGACAGCTGCAGTTTTTTCCAAGTCTCCATATCTTTCTGCACATCTCACCACAACACCTCATAATTATTTTGAAACAGTTTCATATTTGATTCTGCAACCTGAATTCCTAGATATTTTACCTTTGGTACAATCTCAAAACCTGCCCTCCTTTCAAGCTCGTGTTTACGATCTTGTGTCATATTTTTAACTATCATCTTAGTTTTTTTCTGGTTCAGTCTAAAACCTGAAACTTTACCATAGTCTTGTATAATGTCTTTCATCTGGATTATTGATTCCATTGGCGGTGTTAGGATAACAACCAGATCATCTGCAAATGCCTTTATTCTGTAGTCCTCTTGCCTTATCATTATACCTTTCAAGATATTAGAGTCCCGAATTGTGTTTAGCAAGACTTCTAATGTTAAAATAAATAACAATGGGGATAATGGACATCCCTGTCTTGTTCCTTTTTCAATTTTAAACTCTGTTGTCAAGCTTCCATTGATGATAATCTGTGCCTTTTGCTCTTGGTAAATTGCTGAAACCGCCTGTATAAATTGATCCCCAAAGTCCATCTTTTTTAAAGTCTTTAATAGAAAATTCCAATCCACTCTATCAAAGGCCTTTTCCGCATCCAAAAAGACCAGCACTGCAGGTACCTGTTTATTCTTCTCAAGATATTCCAATAAGTCTATTATTTGCCTTACATTATCCTTCATGTATCTACCCTCGATAAATCCCGCTTGATCATCATGAATCACCTTTTGAATTACTGGCACCAACCTGTTGGCTAGTACTTTTGCATAAATTTTATAATCAGTATTCAGAAGAGATATTGGTCGATAATTCTCCGGTTTTTTAGGACCTACTTGCTCTTTTGGTATCAAAGAAATATAAGCTGTTGTCCATGATGGGGGTATTTTACCCCCTTGTTGAATATTACAAAATAGATCTCTGAGTTGTTGCACCATTTCTGCTTGCAAAGTTTTATAATACACTGCAGTCAAACCATCCGTTCCAGGAGCTTTAGCTGTTTTTAATTGTTTAATTGCTAGTATTATCTCCTCCTCTGTTATAGAATAATTCATTCTTTCCTTTTGTTGATTAGTAATTTTTGTAACTCTTTTATTATCTAAGTATTTTTCTATAAGTCCATTCCGCATATCATCTTTAGCATATAATTTAGTATAATAGTCCACAAAAGCTTCTTTAATAAGTTTTTGTTGAAAGATTTCTTTCCCTCCAATATCAATACTATCAATAGTCTGTATACTCTGCTTCTTCCTTAATGTATAGGCCAACCATCTGCCCGGTTTATTGGCGTTACAAAATTTATTATGCCTCGCATATTGTAGATTTGTTGCAACTTGTTCCGCCATAAGCATTTGAAATTGATCTTTCAGAAGTTTTATAACACCACGTATTCTTTCATCTGTTGGGTTTTTAATAAGTAGCTGTTCTTTATTCTTTATTTCTGCTTCCAATTCAGATCTTTTCTTTTGTCGATTCAGTCTATGTTTAGAATTCATATAAATGAGTACCCCTCTCATATAAGCTTTGCTCGCATCCCACACAATTTCAACTGGGGTACCCTTATTCAAGTTCATTTCAAAAAATTCTTTCAACTGCTTCTTAAGTTCTGTTATATTTTTTTCATATCTAAACAAGTTTTCATTTAATCTCCATGATCGTCTCTCGATTTTACCCATCTCAATTTCTATCCATACTGGGCTATGGTCGGTCAAAGTTCTTGGAAAAATCTTTGTTCTTTTTGTCTTAACAAGTAGATCATCTGACAACAAAATAAAGTCAATCCTAGAGAAGGATCTATGTCTATCGGAAAAAAAAGTATAGTCCAATTCTTTTGGGTTGTGTATTCTCCAAATATCTTTTAATTCCAAATCTTCTTTCATATCAAAAAAAGTCTGTGGTAGTCTAATCCTAGATTTCGCCAAACTCTTTTTATCTAATTTAGAATCAATTACACCATTCCAATCTCCCATAATTAAAATAGATCTATAGTCCCATTGCAGTATTTTAGTGTGTAGCATTTTATAGAAATGATCCTGTTGTTGGTTGGGAGCATAAATTCCAATCAAAAGAATTTGGCCATTTACTGTAAGCAATTCAATTGCTATAAACCTACCATCTTTATCTGCTTCTATAATTTTAGCTGTCAATCTTTTGTTTACATAAATAACCACACCATTCTTTTTTTGCAAAGTTGAAGCTATGAAATGTGTTCCTAATTTAGAATTTATCAAGTATTTTTGATCTTGAGTTCTAATATGAGTTTCTTGTAGACAAATTATATCATTATTAAATTGTCTCAAATATGCAAATAGTTTCTTCCTTTTCTGTAATGAATTCAACCCATTCACATTCCACGATAAGCACTTAATTGTCATCTTTATCTTTTTGAAGCGACGAGCAGAATAGCCGAAGCCCCTCCGAGATCTTCGGTTTTGCTCCCCCCATGGCTTCAGACTCTTGTGTAGTACTCTTAGCTCCCTTTTTGTATTGTCTTTCCTGTTGTTGCATTTCTTTAAGTTGCTTAGATTTTGCACGAGTTATACGCTGGTCCTTGACTTCAACCATCCGAGCCGGGTCCAAAATTGGAGAAGATTCTATCAGGTGCTCCTCCAGAGAACCTCCTACAGCATCCTGCATTTCCTCTGGCTCCACCTGCTTAGACTGTTCTTGCAACTCTTGCTGGAGTTGCTTCTTATCACTCTCCTTAATCTCCAGCACTGTAGACGTACGTGGAGATGGAGTTCTGTCTTTAAAAAAAGTAGAATAAAAATGCTCCGCCTTCTCCACCGTATTCAAGCGATGTCTTTCTCCATTATATTTCAAAATTATACCAGTTGGGGCATCCCACCGGAATGGTATCTCTTGTTTTCTCAGTTCATTTACTAGAAAGCCAAAATCTTTTCTAGCTTTCAACATTTTGGGTGGCAATTCTTTGTAAACTCCAATTTGAGCCCCCCCCCCACTTGCACAGAGGAGAGAAAAGATTTTTGCAGGATATCATTTCTTATTGCTCTGTCTGTAAAATATATCACCACGTCTCTAGGCAATTGTCTTTGTCTGGCCACCCAAGAGTTGACTCTGTAAATTTTGTCTATTTTATAAAAAACCACATCAGGATTAATTTTTAATAACACTGCCAAAGCCTCAGCACAAATCTGTCTCAAATCCTGTCTGTCATCCTCTCTGACTCCTCGAAGCCTTATAGCGAATTCCATAGCCCTGAATTGCATCATTATAATTTCATTTTCAACTCTCTGCATTTTATCATCAGCATCAGAAATTTTATAATCATTGTCCGTAATCTTAACATTTAACTTCTGATATCCTAGTGATTTTTTGATACCATTAACCCTGATATCCTTCTGGACTGCTGCAAAGATTTGGAAGGGCACTGTTGCAATGGCTCTCCTCCCTCTGTTGTTGGTTCATTGCCCCTCACTTGTAAAATACCTCAGGACTCAACATTCTCACTCTGCCTATTTAACCTCTATATGAAATATCTGGGGAGGCCATTCATCCACTTGGGGTCCAGTGTAGCAATATGCAGATGACATCAAACCAAACATCTTGACCCTGGGCCTTCCTGGTATTGATAGCAATATATCGAGGTTGTTTGGGTCTGGATATTGACGCAATGTATCGAGGTTGTTTGGGTCTGGATAGGGAGGAACAGGCTCAGGCTGAATCGTGACAAAACCAAATGGCTATGGTTATTTGAGCCTCCTGCATCTGAGGAGTTTTCATCTTTGGTCTTGGATGAAGCTGTAAAACTCTGTTCAAGACTGAACCACAATCTGGGATCATCCTGGATTCACAACTCTGCTCAAAGAGCAGGTGGTAGCTGAGGTCAGGAAGGCCTTTGCACAAACCTATCTAATTGCCATTCATAAGAGGCCCTTCAGACAATCATTTATGTCCTATTCACCTCACAATCTATCAGTCACACCAAGTAAACCAGATCAGGAAGTCAATTTCACAGGAAGGCTAAAACTATTTTTATGGATATTGGCTATAATAACAAACTTGCAAGTCTGATTGTGCTGTACCCCCTCCCTCATCTTATACTCCAGTGAATTAGTGAGGCATCTGCCTCAATCCCTTCCAAATGTTATCTTGTTGCTAAAGGACTAAAAAATACTTCAGTCCTTTTTGTAATTCTTGCCTATTTTCATCTAAATTATCTACCTTACTCTCTACAAATATAATTGGACATGGGCAACATTAATAGAGACTAATTTTATTAAATATGTTTAATTGTGAATAGTTTAGCACTTAGGAAACTATTCACTTCTGAAAACTTGTCAAAAAAAGGTGGGGTTACACATGAAATGGACAATAAATTTACTTTCACACCCAAATTCTGTTTAATCACATACACTTTTAAGACTCTGATTTTTTCCTGGAACCATTTGGCACATATCCAAAACAAAGAGTCCCATTTCATTCTGTATATGAACCATTTATTTATTTGTAGGGATCTATATGCCTGCCAAAAAAAAATTTAGACTCATTTTGAAGAGGAAAAAATAAGCATAACTCCAAACTGTATGAAGACCATTATCCTCTAAGCTGAATTACTGCAGCAATAGATCAGAAGGGGAAGCAATTTTGCTGATTCGTCTGTGACCCCTGTGCTTCTGTTCCATCCAATCTAGAATGGATTAAAGACTTTCTAGGGGGGTGAATTTAAAGGGAAATTATGAGAATCACCTTCATTGTTTAACAAGAACTAGAACTTATTTAATTCAATCAGCCCTTTGTGAGTATGTAGGTCCAGATTAGCATTATGTGTATTAAATAAAGGAGCAAACACTATTAAAGACATTTCCATCTATATTAATTTGGGAGTATTTATTTATTTGATTTGATTTGATTTGATTTCTATACCGCCCTTCTCCTACTGGACTCAAGGCAGTGAACAGCCAAGAATAAAAACATTCACATACAAAATTTAAGATGAATTTTAAAAGAATTAAACAAGTTTTGGCCCGATATAAAATTTAAAATACCCCAACTAAAATCAATTTATAAATTAAAATATCTAAAAATATCTAAGGGGGGGGGGCGGGTCAAGCCAGCCTAGCTTGATGAAATAAAAAAGTTTTAAGGGCACGGCGAAAAGCACGGAGATCTGGGATCCTACGTATCACCGGGGGCAGGTTGTTCCAAAGGACAGGTGCTGCCACAGAGAAGGCCCTCCCCCTGGGGGTCACCAGCTGACATTGCCTGGCCGACGGCACCCTGAGGAGTCCCTCTCTGTGGGAGCATACTGGCCAGTGGGAGGCTATCGGTGGCAGAAGGCGGACCCATAAGTACCCAGGCCCTAAGCCATGGAGCGCTTTAAAGGTGGTAACCAACAGCTTGAAGCGCACCCGGAAGACCACTGGGAGCCAATGCAGCTCGCGCAGGAGAGGTGTCACATGGGAGCGCCCCATGGCTCCCATAATCCCCCGCGCGGCTGCATTCTGCACCAGTTGGAGCCTCCGGGTGCTCCTCAAGGGGAGTCCCATGTAGAGAGCATTACAGTAGTCTAGGCGAGAAGTGACGAGTGCCTGAGTGACCGTGCGTAAGGAGTCCCGATCCAGAAAGGGACGCAACTGGCGAATCAGGCGAACCTGATAAAAAGCCCCACTGGCCACGGCCGTCATATGCTCTTCTAAAGACAGCCGTGCGTCCAGGAGGACACCCAAGTTGTGAGCCCTCTCCATGGGGGCCAGTAACTCACTCCCAATAGCCAGTGATGGCACCAGCTGGCTATATCGGGACGCCGGAAGCCACAGCCACTCGGTCTTGGAAGGATTGAGTCGGAGCCTATTTCTCCCCATCCAGACCCGCACAGCCTCCAGGCACTGGGACATCACTTCAAGGGCATCATTGGGATGGCCTGGGGTGGAGATGTACAACTGAGTATCATCAGCGTACTGATGGAACTCCACCCCAAAACCACGGATGATCTCACCCAGCGGCTTCACATAAATGTTGAACAGGAGGGGTGAGAGGACTGATCCCTGCGGCATCCCACAAACAAGGCATCTCGGGGTCGACCTCTACCCTCCTGCCAACACTGACTGCAACCGGTCAGAGAGATAGGAGAACCACCGTAAGATGGTGCCCCCTACCCCCAACCCCTCCAACCAGCGCAGCATGATACCATGGTCGATGGTATCAAAAGCTGCTGAGGGATCTAACAGGACTAGGATAGAGGAACAACCCCTATCCCGAGCCCTCCAGAAATCATCCACCAATGCGACCAATGCCGTTTCCGTGCTGTGCCCAGGCCTGAAGCCGGACTGGAGCGGATCTAGATAGACAGCTTCATCCAGGTACCATGGAAGCTGTCGCACCACCACACTCTCAACAATCTTCACCACAAAGCTAAGGTTGGAGACTGGATGGTATTTAGCCAAAACAGCCAGATCCAGGGAAGGCTTCTTGAGGAGGGGCCTCACCACCACCTCTTTCAAGGCAGAAGGCAAGACACCCTCACTCAGAGAAGCGTTAATAATCCTCTGGAGTCAGTCTCGCGTAACCTCCCGGGAGGCCAGCACCAACCAGGAGGGACACGGGTCCAATAAGCATGTGGTCGCGTTCAGCCGTGCCAGAATCCTGTCCACGTCCTCGGGAGCCACAGGGTCGAACTCCTCCCAAATGATATTCTCAAGACCTGCCTCCATCATCCCACCTCCACCTACCCAGTCAGAGACCAAGCCTTCCCGAATCTGAGTGATTTTATCATGCAGATACTGCACAAAATCCTCAGCCCGACCCTGCAAGGGATCCTCCCGCGCTCCCAGATGGAGAAGGGAGCGGGTCACCCTAAACAGGGCGGTTGGGCGGTTATCTGCAGATGCGATAAGAGTGGAAAAATAATTACATTTAGTAGAATTAAATGTCACTTATGTATAATAAACTTTTCTTTACCTGCAATATTCCCAGCTGCATTCTGTAAAAGTAATTGGATGCAGTAGGAGTAGATATAATAAGCAATCTTCGTTTTTCATAAAACTGATCTAGAAGAGCTGCTGCTGTCCTCACACCAATATTAATATTCATAGCTGAAAGATATACAAAAAATTTATTCATGCTACCATGTTCATATAGAAACTTAAAAATAAACAACAAATCACATAGAAAAGGAGACAGAAAAAGTCTTAGCTAATGCCAAAGTTTAAAAAGTGTTTCCAGCTCCTGGAGAAAGATCAGCTTTTTGTATACATTTTCAACAGACCCTATTAGAGTGCCAGAAATGGGCTCCAAACCCTCCACCCCACAAATCCAGACCACAGCACAGTCCAACTAAATAATTAATTAGTACATCTGAAGTTATTTTTACGTTGGTGGTGTAGAGCTTTGCATTTGAAAGGGGAAAGATGCTTTGGAAAGTTACAGTTTGCTCATGCAGCATCAGCCATCAATTTCTTAAAGCAGCTGGATCTTTTCTTTTTCCTGGATTGCTCAGCAGCACAATCCCAGGAGAAGGCTCATTTAATTTAAGCAATTGCAGACAAGTGCTATGTGAGCAACCATACATTCTTTGGAAGATCTTTCCCCCTTTGACTTCCCAGTCTTAGAAATAAAAATAAAAAATAAAAAGAGAGATAGAAATAAAATCTCAATCTACCCCTCCCTTCATATTCTCTTAACTTTATTATATGGCTTTCAATAATCAACATTTATCCAGAAAGACCAAGAAATCCACAGAAATCCAAAGAATAGGAATGGGATGAAGAGAAATACTCAAGTTAGAGGACATCCATGAATTTTCATAATCCAGATAACCCTTTACTGAGTGTGTTCCACAAAGCTCTTCATTCCAATTCTGAACACTACAGCTTCATTTGTTTTTTAAGTTTAAAAAATAATTGAGAATTATAATGGGGAAAAACTTTAGGAAAGAAACAGAAAATATATTTATAGATTTTCCCCCCATAAATTTCCTCTAACACTGAAGATCTATGGAAAAAGAGAAAACTTTCATGACTTTAATACAATGAATACAAAAGTAAAAAGTACTATTATGTTGACTACCATTTTGCCGGCCTATTTACAAAATGAAATAAAGGGGTTTTTTTTATTGCTTATTGGCAAAATATTATCACATGTAAGTTATGTTAACAAGAAACGTGAAGAAACTTGAAGGGGTATTAGGTTAAACTATGTTTCAAATAATGCACATAATCCTGATCTATATTCTTCTCTCTTACAGGATTTATTCATTACTCACGTACGTGTACAGGTTGGCTCTGTTCCTGACCAGCCTAAATTATACTGGCAAACTCTTGCTGGACTTCCCTGCAACTCATACCCACCAATGCAGGAAAAGTCACAAGTTGCACCATAATTATCTCCATCACCAGAACATTTTATGTAGCCATTGTCTGGGGCATTCGATTTTCCACAGCGCCTAACTTTAAATACAAAATAACAGAATTCAGTATTCATCATCACTTCCAGTATAACAAAATGAAAATCTAGTACCTTCTTGAAAGATTATTTATTTACTTCTAGTTAACTAATTAATAAGTAGTATATAATTTATAGAGCCGTGGTGGCACAGTGGTTAGAGTGCAGTAATGCAGGCTACTTCTGCTGATCACTGGCTGCCAGCAGTTTGGCAGATTGAATCTCACCAGGCTCAAGGTTGACTCAGCCTTCCATCCTTCTGAGGTCGGTAAAAATGAGGACCCAGATTGTTGGGGGCAATGTGCTGACTCTGTAAACCTCTTAGAGAGAGCTGTAAAGCACTATGAAGCGATATATAAGTCTAAGTGCTATTGCTATTGCTATCTATTAATTCATGGGATAACAATAAGACTATCAGGATAACAATTCTGTTTTTATACAGTACTATCATTTATAAAGCTGAACTCCCAGTGATCCTAAAGCCAGAATAATTCCACTAGTTATACCTCTTTGCTACAATGGGAATTTCAACTACAACCTCCAAGGCAGGGGTGAAATTCTCCCGGTTCGGACCGGATCACCTGATCTGGTAGTGATGGCGGCGAGTGGTTCAGAGAACCGGTAGCAAAAATCCCTGTGCCCCCCACCCAACCACCACCACCATGCCCAGCTGAGCTGCACGATCATCAGAGGCTTTTTTTTTTTACTTTTAAAAGCATTTTTTCTACAACCTCTTCCAATGAAAAAATGCTTTTAAAAGTTAAAAAAAAAAGCCTCTGATGATCGCTCAGCTCAGCTGGGATCGTCAGAGGCTTTTCAAAGCATTTTTTTCTGCAACCTCTTGGCTGAAGAGGTGGTAAAAAAATGCTTTCAAAAGTCTCTGACGATCCCAGCTGAGTTGCCTGATCGGCAGAGAGGTATTTTTTAAAAAGCCTCTCTGACGATCCCAGCTGAGTTGCCTGATCGGCAGAGGCTTTTCAAAGCATTAGAAAAAATGCTTTGAAAAGTTAAAAAAAAAAAAAAGTTGGCCACACCCACCCAGTCGCATTACCCCCCCTACCAAACCACGCCCACCGAACTGGTAGTAACAAATTTTACATTTCACCCCTGCTCCAAGGTCCCTTCCAACTCTGTTACTGAATTAGATTGTTTCTATTTGCTAAGTGCAACATATCACATTAATAAACAGAATGCAATGCTCAGGTCTGATCAGCAATTTAATCCTTTATAGAATTATATGACAAATTACTGTGCTAAACTATGAAGGTATAATTATCTAAATCTGAGAGAGAATTTGCTATCATCAAGAGATAACCACAGTCAATCCCAGCACTATATGCAATAGAGGTTATGGAGTAGTAGCAAAATGCATCAACTTATTATCTTCAATGTTTTTGAAAAGGCTGGCTCCTATTTATTGTGTGTTGTCTACAAAAGCCTGTACTAGTATAGTGCAGGGGTGAAATGCTACCAGTTCACTCTGGTTTGGGCGAACCAGTAGCAATAAAAACTACCTGTTCGGGCAAACTGGTAGTAAAAAAAAAAGCTACAATCCGACGATCACCTGTGCCATGCAGTTTAGCTTTGCTAGAAAGCAGAATTTCCTGCTTTCTAGGGAAGCTAAACTGCGTGCCACAGCTGATTTCCCCCTTGCTGTTTTACTGCACATGCGCGCCTGCGCAGTATGCACCAAAGGGAGGCTTGGGAAGGTAAGTAGAACAGCAGGGGGGGATCAGCTGTGGCGCGCAGTTTAGCTTCGCAAGAAAGCAGGAAATCTTGCTTTCTAGCAAAGCTAAACCGCGCAGCACAGGTGATCATTGGATCGTACCTTTTTTTAACTACCGGTTCACCTGAACTGGTAGCTAACTACCAGTTTGCCTGAACTGGTAGCTAACTACCAGTTCGCCTGAACCAGTAGCTTTTAAAAAGCGCAGCGCGGGTTTGGTGCGCACTCTGCATGCGCAAACAACATGCGTTTGGTGCGTACTGCACATGCAGCGCACATTTGGTGCGCATGCACATGCACAGCATGCACTTGGCACACAGTGTGTGTGTAGCAACCGGTAGCAAACCGGTTCAGATTTCACCCCTGGTTTAGTGCCTTCCAGATATATTGGAACTGTAACTCTGAATATTGGCCCTGATGGGTACATTCAGGAAGCTAGTATACATCTCCGAATAACATGTGAATGTGGTTTGGGTTCAATGACTGTGCCTGTTTTCAGCTGGAAAGTGATCTTACCTCTGACTTTGACCAAAAATTTGCAAGCTCCCTTATTCCCAGCTCTGTCATACACAGTATATTGGATTTTGTGATTTCCTTCTGAAAAATATGATCCTGGTGGAAGTCCTTTCAAGATAACACTAAAAATGAAATAAAGTAATGTTAAATTTAAAAAAAACAGCAATGTATCATTCTTGCAGTATATATTTTAGAAAATATGGACTAAATTGTTAATATTATACTTAACTGGAACTTCTGAGAATCTGACTTTTTAAAACACCATCTACTAATATGCAACAACAACAATACTATAGTGTCACTGGTAGCATCACACTGCAATGAACAAGGACATATTCAATTTTGCAGCTACTAAGATTATTGGACGAGCAGGCACAAAAACAGCCAGGGAAGTGAAACAGGCCCCTCATCAGCCAACAGGAGCGCTGATTTACCACCAGCCTATCAAGTACTTAAAAGGTGAGGGCTGGGCAGCTCAAGCAAATAATAGCTAATGTCATAAAATCCAGCCACCAACACATCCCAATAAACATCTAAAAAAGCCAATTACAACAGGCACTATGAATACCACACACATACTCTGCTAGAGAGAAGTTCCCTGAAGATGGGCTCCAGTACGAGTCTGAAAGCTTGGAAGACAAAACCTCTGGTCCTGGTGACTGACCTAGATTGGATCCTGCAACACTATATATGGATATAAAATAAGCACTAGCTATTTAAAAGTTCAACTTGCATCTTGTTACTCTTCAATTGCTAGGCTGCAAAATTATTTGGACTGCATGTTTGAAAGAAAGACTAGGAACAAAAATGCTGTAAATTTTCAATTCATACTAGTGTCAAACCCCGAGCCCAGGGTTTGCCATGCCTGAAGGGAGGGCGGTGGGTGCTTGGAGGTTACGACAGTGGTGGGAGCTTGCAGCAGCAATGGCGGAGCTGAGCCAACACAGCAAGAGGCTGCAGCAGCAGAGTCGAAACCCAGCTTATGCTGAAAGCCAGCTAATTACGGCCGGCAGTGATTCAGCCAAAGATCAGCTGTTCCAGAGTATGGAGCAGCACACAGAGAGAAGAGCCAGGGAGCTGTGGCTGTTCTGTCAACAAGCTGCTGTTGAGCAGGCATAGGCTGAGTGGGTCTGGTCAGCTTGTTGCAGGGGTGGGGAGGGCATGGCTGATTGCTGCAGCGGCAGGACGTGGCACAGCTCTGAACTTTAAAAGATATTGGAAGGCAGATGCTCCCAGCACTGACTATACATCTAAATTTTGATCTTCCTGTGACATCACAGCAGCCAGAGGAGGCAAGGTACTCTTCTCCCAAGCCGATTCTCCGTTCGCTGTACCCGGCGGCTTCATTGAAGCTTCTTTGAAGCCACCACCGAGCGGAAAAGCTTGGTTGGAAAGAGGGGAGTTTGCCAGCTCCGTGTGGAAAGTGCAGGCTGCACGAAGAGACTGAAGTACCTCCCCGATATCGGCACAGTGAGAGGATGCCTGCTATGGCACCCTGAGGCTGTGGCTATACTGCTTGAGGAAGTCTATTCATCCCAGCCGAACTAAAAGACTGATTCGGTAATTTGAGACTGTGATTCGATTAGAAGCCGCAAGGTAGTGGAGTTTAAAATCTTTCCAACTCCCAGAGCCTAAACTGAGTGAGTTGGCAGTGAAGTTTGTTGGCAGTTTGAGAAGATTACCAACCTTGGATTATAACTGATTATTGCAATCTGATTTCATCCTGTTTTTACGACTGGTGAATTTTGAATTTTGACTTACTGTTTGGGAATGCGATTCCCCACGGACCTTGAATGAAAGAGGGCTGTGCTTCCTTTGATTTTCCTATCTTTGATTTAGCATTAACATTTTCTGTTTTGAAGAACGCCATTTGTATGAGCTGTTACTTTTTAATTTGCTTCCACTGCAAGAAGAGCTGGAGAACTGGAGAAGTTGGTGTTTGCTGCCATCTAGTGACCAAAATTGCTAACTGCACCTAGATTCATTATAGTTGGACTCCCCCCCCTTTTTTTCCCCTTTTCCTTTCCTACTTCCTTTTAGATAGCCAGTAGGAATTAGATAACCAGTAGGAATTAGTGAGTAAATTTACCCCTAGTGTGGTTTGGACATAGCGAAGCAAGAGTGAATTTTGATAATAGGTGGTGAAACCATTTGGTGTTATATGATTGCCTGGAAAGACTTTTTAGGAATATCCAAAATGGCTACCACGACTATTACCTTGAAGAAGAAGGCAATCATGACCTCTTCAGCCTCATCTCCAGCCACCACCTCTGTGACGCTACAAAAATCATCTGAAGACGTGGCTACTCCGGGAAAAGCATCAACGCAAGATATTCTCCAGTCTATACAGGAGACGTTGATTAAAAATCAAGATTCAACGTCAAAGACCTTGGAAGAGCTGAAGAGGAATGTCAAAACATTAACTACTGAGACAAGGTTGTTTCATGCAAAGTTTGAGGAGGTCCAAAATACTTTGACTAATCATGAGGAACGGATTCAAGCTTCCGAGATAAAGACCGAGAAGGTGACCTGTAGGATGGAGCGGCTCGAACTCCGGCAAGGCTTGGCTAATAAAAAAATCGAGGAAGAGATTATCTTCCTCGAAATGGATAGATCTGGCTACTTCTTATGGTTTCAGAATGTCCCTGAAGAGAAAGATGAGCGCTTGGATGTACTAATAGGAGAGATTGTTGCAGGAATTACTGGAAGAGATTTTGCAGAAGTTTCAAGAGATATTGACGATGTGTACCGAGTATATACCAGCTATGCTCGGCGCAACAAGCTCCCTAAAGAGATCCATGTTCGATTTACTAGAACAGCACTAAGGGATGAAGTGTTTCGGAAAACAAGGGACCAAACTTTTACTTACAAAGATAACTGACTAACAATATTGCTCAGCTCCCGAGACAAGTATGAGACATTCGGAGGAAATATGACTTTTTGACAACATGGCTGAGGAAACAAGGGATACGTTATCGTTGGCTTCTACCGAAAGGCCTGACGTTTACCTGGCAAGAACAGAGGTTACGACTGGAAACCGTACAGGAAATGCAGGACTTCGCGGAGGCCTATATTAATTTTAGTGACCAGGAGAGTGAAGGTGGTAACCTAGGTAAGAGCCAAGAAGAGGTAACCCAGGAAACAACAGCCACAGAGCATATTGGACATGACAAAGACACAGCCCAATCTGGAGAAGAAAGAGGAACAAATTTCCAAATCGAGACCAGATCCCAGAAACTCAAGAACGCAGGTAAGTAGAGGTATGGATGAGGTGCTCCACCTGTTTTCCGTTAACATCAATGGCCTGAATGCTCCCACTAAGAGGAAAAAGGTCTGGGCTAAACTTCAAAAAATTAATTATGATATTATATGTTTACAGGAGGTCCATATAAGGAAAGACCATTCTAAGATTTTAATTTATCCCAAACTGGGGAAGTTGTATGTATCCTTGGCCGACCAGAAGAAAAGGGGAGTTGTTGTTTACGATCGGAGAGGCCTGGTGAAACGTCAAGTATATGCAGATAGAGAGGGTAGGATACTGATGTTAGAGATTAGTATTGGCCAAAAAATAATATTGTTAGTAAATATATATGCCCCTAATGTTAACCAAATGGGTTTCTTTAAAGATTTGCATAAGAAAATTAATGAATTAAATTACGAGCATGTATGCATAGTAGGTGACTTCAACACGATTGCTGATACTTCAATTGATTATGATCCAGGAAGGGGTTCTCCTAAATACAAAAAAGGGCATAGGAAGGTACTCCCCAAACATGGGATAACCTAAGAATAGAAATAGGTTAAGAGACGTCTGGCGAGACTTCCATCCTATGCAAAAGCATTTTACATATTTCTCCCCCAGGCATAGATCGTGGTCTAGAATAGATATGGTCTGGTCAACCTCAGATTTGAAAGAAGGCATAAATTCAGTTGAAATAGGGACGAATATATGGGCAGACCACCATCCCCTGGTAATAAAATGGAAGGGGTCCACTAGAAGAGCAAGATGGTCTATGAGGGCTGAGATCATGAAAGACGAGGGATTTATAAATATGATTAAAAAAGTATTAGATCATTTTTTTTATCGAAAACAAGAGAGAAGATACTTCCCTTCAAAATATTTGGGATACTGTCAAAGCAGTAGTTAGGGGATTGGTAATAAAATATACAGCTACCAAATGGAGAAAGGAGAAGGCCAAATGGATTGAGTTAATGGCTGAATTGGAGAAAGCTGAAGGAGAGCTGCGTTTAGATCCGCATAATAATTTGATTAAGGAGAAAATTGACTTGATTAGTCATGAGTTACCTATCCTAGATCAAAAGGATTTGGCGAATAAAATTCAGAAATGTCGACAAAACCAATTTGAGCATGCTAATAAACCGGGCCGGTGGTTGTCATATAGATTAAGAAAAGAGGCAGAATCTAGAAAGATTGAATTTTTACAGGACTCTATGGGAAATTTGGTAGGTATATAGAGCAAAAAGCAAAGGTGGCCCAAGATTTTTATACCTCCTTATATAGCCAAGAAATCCATCAGAATCTACAATTGGAGATGATTCCGGATTACTGTAAAGAAATTTTAAATGCAGAAATTACAGTTGGGGAAATAGCAGTAGCTATCATGAAACAAGCCAATGGCAAGACTCCGGGACCAGATGGGATTCCTAGTGAATTTTATAAAGGAGTCTTTGACTCACTTAGTTTGTACATTAAAGATCTATTTAATGAGGTTTTATTACACTCTAGGATACCCCGGTCCTGGATGGAAGCCTACATTTCCCTAATCCCGAAACCCGATACAGATAAAACTCTGATCCAGAACTATAGACCAATCTCGCTCCTGAATGTGGATTACAAGATTTTTGCGACAGTACTAGTTGAGAGACTCTGGGTGTTCCTGTCCTGATTTATCCACCAAGACCAGAATGGTTTCCTGCCTTATAGGCACCTAAGAGATAACGTAAGGGTAGTATTGAATGCCTTAGAATACTATGAGACACAGCCTGATAAACTAATGGTAATGAATTGTTTTTTAATATTTGTATTGCATGTTTTTAATTTTGGCTGTACACCGCCCTGAGTCCTCAGGGAGAAGGGCGGTATAGAAATTGGAAATAAATA